ATCTACCGCATCAAGTGTGTCAACTAACATTTGTTCTTTCTGCAGCTTTATTGAAACGTTCGCAGGAACTCATGATAAGAAGGGAACTCGCAAAAGATCCCAAATTAGCAACAAGTCCTGGGACTGGTTCCTCCCCACGTTCAGGAACATCTGAAGACCTCCGAAAAGACGATGAAGAAGACGGGAAAGTCGCTGCCAAGGAAGAAGCGCGCAAGGCTTCAGGCCTTGATGCATCGAGTTCGACAAAAAGGAGAACCAGCGAAAGTGTACACGCCCTTTCCCCCGCCACAGCAACCACGGAAGGTAATTCACTCTGCTGGGTTGTCAAGTAGTGCTGATGTTTGGTTATGTCTAGGTTGACCTTTAGCTCGAGTCGGGAGAGTATTTCCTCAAGCCCCATGAACGGGAGGCCTGGGAAGTTCAACAAAGAAAACAAAAGGTACGTGTTTACTGTGCAGTCCGCAAAAATCTCATTTTATCTACAGCAAGCCGAAGCAGCCCTCAAACGACGAGCAGAACGGGCAGAAGTATGCGTCGCTCCCACAGAAGAGGCGGCCCCTACAGTTGAAGAAAACGAAAGCGACGGCACACAGAAATGGATGCCAAGGATGGGACGGCAAGGTCGAAAAAGAGAGAAAGGACATTGCTGCATAGGCGCAATGGACTTGTCACACCGTTCGTGTGCACATCGTGAACGCAATGCTACTTGGAGTATTTTGATGCACGCTGCGTATTGAGGACATCCTACTGCCAACACTATGTTTGACCCATGATGCATTACTAGCGTTACGCCAAATACGATAAAAACCCACTAAGTACACGCACTGAATCGATTCAACAAGTGTCGAACAAAAAGCACGATCAAGTAGGAATATTCCCCTGTGGCCTAAAGTCCCTACTGCTCGCACCGATAGAGAACGAGATCTGGCCATCAGGCTCGCACCACCCCTGAGCGACGACGTCCCAAATAGACAGGTCATAGCGCGAGAGCGTGATCGAGGCTTGTTCTGTGCTTGACGGCGAGATTTCGACGTTTGTGAAGCCCTTTAGGACTGATGGAGGCTTGCTAGCGGAAGACGGGAAGTGAATGTACCGAGGAATCTATTCGCGTGACTTGGGCATAAGTATCGAGATAATGAAGCTAAGTGGTGTCACGAACCTCCATTCCAGATACAGGTCCAGTATTCGTGACCTTGAAAGTTGCCTGGAACGCAGGCTCTTGGAGACTGGTAAGTAACGATATCAGCCCGCAGATCCTTCATTAGTCTTAATGAACGCCAAAGCGCAGTAGAAGACCCTTCAGCGATGGGTGAAGCCTTCCCGTTCTCCCAAGCAGCGATCAAATCCTCTTGGTCAGCAAAGACAATCAACAGAATCGATGATTAAAATGTATGCACTTACAAGGTTCTTGGCTTTTTGGTAGGTAGTAGCCCACACAGGCGCAAAATCGGGCACGATTTGTGGATCAATGCTATTGTAAGAGGATCAGTTGCAGGGTAAACTGGGGGGAGAGGGCTGAGAGTAGGCGTAGGATAGGGAGTGAATGAACAGCTAGAGAGCGGAACAGCGATAACACCGGTTGTGGACGCGCCTGAGGTACTGGCGGAAGCAGAAGATTGCAGCAGTTGATGAATAATTGAGATTGTGACCTTACCAGCTACCGTAGCGCTAACATTACCACCCGAAGCAGACGGAGCCAAGGTCGGTGCACCTAGAACGAATAAAATTATACATGACAGTAACAGCAGCAAGCTATGCGTCATATAACCTCTGAACTGATTTCCTTTTTCTGCCAAGGTTCGTTTCCGGACTCACTACAACTCGATCTCTCATTTTATTTACTCCTTCGTCTCTGTATCGAAAACCTAGCTCCGTATTCCTTCCGCACCAAGTCCTCATCACACTCGTCACATACGGCATCCAGATACCTTGAATGTTGGTCCGAGATAGTATCAAAACACGGTCAATATGACTTTGTACCTTCCACGGTGAGCCATATCACACTGTCCTAGAACTCTACTCTTTGCACATCTTACCTCGTTTGTGCGAGTGGGAGTGCGTCAGGGAGTTTCTGTCCTATGACAATGAACTCTCGTCTGACAAAACACGCGTGAGTTCATGATCCTTGTGTCGTACTGAACTCAATATTACCAGGAACTTCTTTGGCCCTCGAGGCTCAGCATGCTCATGCGTTAGAGAGTACAATGCGGGAGACGCCAAAACTCGAGACTCCACCAACCTTCACCCCGCTCTCTATCACCAGCCTCTTCCCCATCCTTTCTATCCACAACATCTACTCGTACCACCGTCCCAGCACCCCCCCGTCCAAAACTTACCCGTCAACAATCTGCGTCCTCTACCTCAGCAAGCTTCAGACTCCACCATAACCAGATCCCCTCGCCACCACCACAACGAACATGCCCCGAGGAAGCCTCAAGTACCGGTGGCATTCCTATCTCCCGCGTCCCGCCAGTCGGCCATAGTCTCGCAACTGCACGACCCCCCTAATACCCATCGGATCTTATTTCAACCACTATTTCACCACAAACAGATAGCCACCATCAGTTGTGTTCTTCCTATTCCACTTACATATCTGATTCCTTCGGAGGCGGCGGCGGGACTTGGTACGGAGGAGGTTATTGGAAGCCCATGGCATTCGGTGACGAGACGGTCGTGGAACGAGTTGGTGAGGGTGGTTTAGATACTGTTAGGATGAGTGGTAGGGGACTTGTATAACTCACGGTGCGCCCGCTTAGTATCGGTCTTCTTAGCCAGACCAAGTAGAAGATGATGCTGAGACCATAGGCCATGTAATTATACATAGTGATCTTTCAAGTGGTTCGAACTTATTTTAACAGCAGTCGTGGAGGGGCTAAAATTCTGAATGTGCAAGTTGGAGCAGACGTCTAGTGAGTAATATATGAGGCAAACACATGCCACCACTGCATCTGTTCAGAGGTCGTATTTAAAAAACCCTTGCACCGATCCGAAATAATCAGACAGAACATAATGTCATCAATGCAAAGTGCGAAGACAATACCAGTGAATCGCTCTGCGGCATGTCATAGACGATGAAGTGGGAGCACTGAGCTGCAAATGCTTCTCATGCAGCTTCCCTCTCCGCGGCCAGCAGCGTTCACATCTACTTCAAATCGCACTCAACCTTTTTCCTTCTTCGCGCGTTCCCTTCGCTTGTTCAATGACTCCAATCTTCCCCAACACCTACATCGGCTGTCGTGACCCGAGGCTATCCTAGTAATTCCGACTTCGAGAGTGTAGAAGCAGGCAAGGCTTAGGTAGAGGAGGGGGCGTCATCATTCTCCACAACTTAGTTTGTCTGGGTGCAGCAAGAAATACAACCTATTCCTTCCGCGCAGCTTTGCGCACCATCTGAAGCCGGTGGTCAATTTCCGCTTGCGAGAGCGTTCGCTTGGTGCAGAGGTTTTCGACCTTGTTCAAATTTACTAGGTCCGGGAGCACCATTCTCTTCAAATACCTGTATCATGAGACTGTGCGTCAACCAAGACATATATTGATGTCGATTCACTGCAGAGACCACATGGGATGCTCAGGATGGGGCGATCGAGTAGAAGGTAGCCTTGTTGTTCCACGCACGATAGTTGGAATCCTGTTTCAAATCCAGATTGTAGTAAATGTCTTTGGTCAAAAATGACGTTGTCGATGAAACTGTACTGCGCCGAAGGCAAGCAATAATGGTGCAACCAGATTATTTGGAGTCATCAGGGAATGGCGGCCATGACTTTGACATGCAAGAATTGCTCAAGCAATCTGCTTGCCAAGACACGGAGTTCGCCACTTAATCTGTGCGCATGTGGAAATACTGGCAAGTACAAAACAGAAGACGACGAAAATGGCTCGAAAACGCTACTGCGAACGTACCTAGACCAGAGTAGGTGGCAAGTCTTAACTAGTACACCTCTAAGTACAGTACATCAGTCAGTCAGACAACCGTAAATTCAGGCTCGGTGCTAGGTATAGAAATGAACAAGGAATCAAAGAATCAAATGGTACACCCGATGTTGCGGCAATAAAATCATCGTTACATGGAGCTAGAAGTCCTAATGTTAGTAACTGCAAGGACGGATGATAAACACAAAGAACTAACGCATCTCGGCAACTCGACCAGTGTGTCCCATGTGCCATGCGGCTCAAATCAAGTTCGGGATGTCCTCTGGGAATCACCAATGAAGTCCAAGGAGTATAAAATGGACGTCGGGAAGCGGGAGGCACCCAGAAAAGGAGCTGATGATTGGGTCCCATGATCCATCCATCAGCCTGCAGCAAGAAAGGTGTTGAATTAGAATTATGATGAGAAGTGGGTTCCAGCAAGTCAGCGGGATTGGGCAGGGCGTGTTCTTGGCTGGACGAGAAGGAAATGACGTGATTGTTACAATGCTGGTTGGCATGGTACGGCTTTGTTGGGTGGGAGGTGTAGTGCTTCGATGGAGTGAAAATGAGGAAGAATCTGGCTCGCTGGACATGGAGGATAGCTGCACTTTCACTGCATCCCACAGCCGCACAGTCTTATCGTGCGAACCAGACGCGATGCGAGTACCATCCGGTGAGAACGAGACTGAGTAAACCAAACTAGTGTGCCCCTCCAAGGGCTCACCCAATGGCTGTCCGTGATTGCATCCCACAGCCGCACAGTCTTATCCGCCGAACCAGACGCGATGCGAGTACCATCCGGTGAGAACGAGACTGACGAAACCCAACTAGTGTGCCCCTCCAAGGGCTCACCCAATGGCTGTCCCGTGGTTGCATCCCACAGCCGCACAGTTATATCCCACGAACCAGACGCGATGCGAGTACCATCCGGTGAGAACGAGACTGACCAAACCCAACTAGTGTGCCCCTCCAAGGGCTCACCCAATGGCTGTCCCGTGATTGCATCCCACAGCCGCACAGTGTTATCCTTTCGAACCAGACGCGATGCGAGTACCATCCGGTGAGAACGAGACTGACTAAACCCAACTAGTGTGCCCCTCCAAGGGCTCACCCAATGGCTGTCCCGTGATTGCATCCCACAGCCGCACAGTGTTATCCTTTGAACCAGATGCGATGCGAGTACCATCCGGTGAGAACGAGACTGAGCAAACCCAACTAGTGTGCCCCTCCAAGGGCTCACCCAATGGCTGTCCCGTGATTGCATCCCACAGCCGCACAGTGCTTATCCTCCGAACCAGACGCGATGCGAGTACCATCCGGTGAGAATGCAACTGATCGAACCTCATCAGTGTGCCCCTCCAAGGGCTCACCCAATGGCTGTCCCGTGATTGCATCCCACAGCCGCACAGTGTTATCCAAGAACCAGACGCGATGCGAGTACCATCCAGTGAGAACGAGACTGAGTAAACCGAACTAGTGTGCCCCTCCAAGGGCTCACCCAATGGCTGTCCCGTGATTGCATCCCACAGCCGCACAGTGTTATCCTCCGAACCAGACGCGATGCGAGTACCATCCGGTGAGAACGAGACTGAGTAAACCCAACCAGTGTGCCCCTCCAAGGGCTCACCCAATTGCTGTCCCGTGATTGCATCCCACAGCCGCACAGTCTTATCCTAAGAACCAGATGCGATGCGAGTACCATCCGGTGAGAACGAGACTGACGAAACCGAACTAGTGTGCCCCTCCAAGGGCTCACCCAATGGCTGTCCCGTGATTGCATCCCACAGCCGCACAGTGTTATCCTTTGAACCAGACGCGATGCGAGTACCATCCGGTGAGAACGAGACTGAGTAAACCGCACTAGTGTGCCCCTCCAAGGGCTCACCCAATGGCTGTCCCGTGATTGCATCCCACAGCCGCACAGTCTTATCGCCAGAACCAGACGCGATGCGAGTACCATCCGGTGAGAACGAGACTGACGAAACCGAACTAGTGTGCCCCTCCAAGGGCTCACCCAATGGCTGTCCCGTGATTGCATCCCACAGCCGCACAGTGTTATCCAAGAACCAGACGCGATGCGAGTACCATCCGGTGAGAACGAGACTGACGAAACCTCTACTAGTGTGCCCCTCCAAGGGCTCACCCAATGGCTGTCCCGTGATTGCATCCCACAGCCGCACAGTCTTATCCTCCGAACCAGACGCGATGCGAGTACCATCCGGTGAGAACGAGATTGACCAAACCTCTCTAGTGTGCCCCTCCAAGGGCTCACCCAATGGCTGTCCCGTGATTGCATCCCACAGCCGCACAGTGTTATCCTGCGAACCAGACGCGATGCGAGTACCATCCGGTGAGAATGCAACTGATCGAACCTCATCAGTGTGCCCATTGATTATGATCTGAACAACCGTCCAGTTCAAATCACGACCGCATGCCAGACGAAGGTTATTCGGAAACCTTGACGTGAATTTGGTAGCCATGGCGGAGTTGACCGGCGAGAATGGGAGCCCTGATAAATACAGATGTGGCGTGCTGTGCAAAATCATCCTGCCAAACACTTGCATGAATCTTTGTACATCCATCGTGGTCGTCCGCAAATCTTCGTATCCAGAATGGCCCTGTATGTATTCATGAGCTGCTCATCCGACACTGACTCATAGGCATGTGCTCACCTTCAGCCACTTGGCAACAAGCGGAAGCACAATAATTGCACCCCTGATTGCATTAAGAAGTCCGAGTGCTTCGATCCAGAAGAGCAGTCGCTCGTCGTCGAAAAATGATCTGGTCCCCTTTGCGAGCTCATCGTCGAAGTCCGTTGCTTGAACGTGAGTAGCCCAGAATCGACAGGAATAGGATAGATGTGGGGAAATGGATGTTTTGACTCGTTGAGCCAGTCCGGTATCTTCGCGATTAGGGAGGTATGATGACTTTAAATCACATATATTGAAGCGAAGGCCATGTTCCATCACTCGAAGTGATGCCAACGCTAAGTCGTGGTGTTGCGTCTTCGTCACCTCGACGAAAAAGTCTCCGCTAGATGATTTGTCTGTGAGGAACTCTTGGAAGGATGCGTGAAGGGGTTTGACGGGGATGTGTGAATCCGTTGTGCCGCTGAGGAGGGATCCCATATGTTGTATGATGTTCATTTTGTAATGTTTGCTGTGGTTTGGAAAATAGTCTCGCATGGCATTGAGGGAATCGAAAGGGAGGGGTTCAGCCGTGCTGAGTATTTGTCCCATCACGGAACGAAACCTTTCTAGTGCTTTCTGGTATTCGGCATCACTATACCGGGCTTTTGGCCAGAGTTTTGCCAAAATAAGCCGATACATATCATACAACTTGTCCGTCAATTCCCCAGGATCGCGGTTCACGACAATTTCAAATCGAGACTCTGGGTCTACGCCGGGAAGGTCTTCCTTGATGTATTCGCATGCAAGACGTGCCCACTCAAAAAGTCCATCGGCTTTCGTAGCGAGGTTTACGAACTCTTTGTCCCCAAACTGCGACAGCCCTTCTAGCTTGTCAGATACAAAGGTGCAGATGTCACGCTCCGCCACTGCTGTTGGAATCTCATCCATCGATAACTGTAGAATATGCTGAGCGCCGTGAAATGCATCTTCGATATCATGAAGTGGGCGAGAGGTGACGAGAATCCGAAAGTTGGATGGGAGTTCTGTGATTTGGGGAAGACCTTTGTTCCGAAGTTTACCGCCAAGTATGCGGAGAAGGTCCCGCCGCGTCTCCACTCCGCCGCTCTCGTCCAGCGCTTCGATCACGATCAACACAGGTTCCACACTTGACCTAGAGGATTTCTTCAGCGGTTCCACAAGAAGCTTCTCCCACTGCTGGTAAACATCCTTCGAGTTCTTGAGTGAGGTGGAATCTTTGACCGCATCTGCCAATGCTCGTCTCATCTCCGGATCATGATCAGCTAGGTCACGAGCGATGGTGGAGAAAACCTTTTCATGGCGTTCCTCGGTCTTGTCGAAGCAGAAACATGAACCCAGCACCCCCATGTCGCTGAACCACTTTGCAATCGTGTGAGCGATGGCCGATTTGCCCGTGCCAGCGGGGCCAGATAGCCAAAGCACTCGTTGGGTAGCGTCTTCATTGCCGTTGATCCAATCCGTGATCTGGGAGAGAATCTCCGTGCGCGTCCCTGGTAGGCATTGCTTCATGGTATTGAGTCCTGCGCCCTTTGCATAAGCGATATCCCCGAGATCCAGGGTATCGCCTGAATCGGTGTGAGTGAATGTAAAGATAGAAGCGCGTCAGAATCCTTACCCGTACGTTGGACGAAGACGGCCACGTCCCTGTCAACCTGGTCACGGAATTGTTGTACAAGGCCGTCCAAAGTGTCGCTGTATTTTTTGATGATGGCATCAGTTTCCGAGAGAACGTTTTTCCCAAGTCTCTTCCCTACGATAATAGGATGAGATTGATGTACGAAGTGCGATAGCTTGGTGACTCACAAAAGCTCTTTGTCTCCGAGTAGTCCCTGATGAAACGGGCACACTCAAGAGTCTGCTGAACGATCTTCCCAACGATACCGCGCATCGATTCAATTTTGCGAAGACTGTCGTCTTGAATCATGAAGCGGTAAACTTCAGCCAACTTCTTGAGAAGACTATGGACCGATTCGTCGCGCTCTGCTTGAGCGATTATGATCTGCGTGAAATTATGACTTCTGAGTAGGAGACCGACTCTTGAAGAAACCGGACGCACTTTGGATGCAGCAGACAGCACACCCAGCGCCATCTTTGCGTACGGATGCACCTATATAACTTGATTAGTTCGCTCCCAATCAACAAGAATGGCCCATACATCCGCGATCTTCTCAAGGACAGCATCAACAATCTTTAGGGGTTGGATATACGTCGTCTCAAAATCATCCGCAGCAGTGAGACCTGCTGGGGCCTTGTTGGCGGCGGATGCCATGGAAGCCGCATGTCCTCCGAGCGGTCTCATAGTTTCCGCACCATCACAGGCACCCTGAAGTTCAGCATCAGCTAATTGGAGATCAGGTCCTTCTTCCTCGCCAGTAGGAGCAGCCTGAACCTGTGGGATCCCCGAAATTAGAGAAGAAGGTCAAATTATTTGACGAAAATACCTGTGAAGCAGGCTCTCTCGACAGTACTTGGTTCACGGAGTCGCCGGGAATCTCAGATGTGGTGGGATGCTTGGTGTTGTTGGAAGGATGGAGATGCAGCGTGTCCTGGGCGCCTCTAAGAAAACCGAAGGACTAGGATGGCAAGTGGAAGCACTTACCTCGACTTTCTGACCCGATGAAGCCCCTTCGGTTTCAACGTTCTGGACCGCAGTACTGCGGTTTCTTATTCGCTTGAAGCGTTTCTGCACAATCTCAGCCGTATTCAGGACAGTCAGTATTCACGTCCACGCACAGGAAGTTTTTTGGCTAACGCATTCTTCAATTTCCGCAGGGACTGACAGATTCCTCTACGAGGTTGGTTCTGGATGAAAAATGCATAAGGGCAGCGATGAGTTTCAGAGACCACATACCGAGTTTTCAGCAACATTTGCCCGGATGGATCTGGAGGCTCCTGGAGGAGAATCTGGCCTATGGTCTTCACTCATCGCGAGTGGTCGTAGATCAGTATGAATAAAACGGTGAGGGAAAATGAGAAGAGTGTGAGAAGGGGATGGGCGTCTTATACTTTGGCAGAGGCGGGGCCGAACGTTAGAAGCATGGCCAACACGTTGGCTTCAAGCGTTAATTACTCCGAGCCACGCAATTCGCATCGGTTCATAGCGGCAGGTTAATTAGTGTACACGCATCACAGTGCAATGAAGGGAGATGCAAAGTCGAGAGAGCTCTGTCCACTCTAGAGCCGAATTATACAGCAGCTCCTTCCTACTAGGTCTGGCGTTGTCAAAGTTCAAGTTGGCCCAGATAAGCCTAATGTGGTGGCAACTGTTCCGAGTCGAATTTCAAGCACACGACGAGACCGGTGCATAGGAAGGGACAACGGTGCTGATATTTATGAGGCGGTTCCGCTGCAAGTAATGGTATCGTGAGCTCATTGAGGCTGGCTCAGGTTGCCACTAGTCTAGCAAGTCTGTCCTATGACCGAGTATTCGAACATGACACGTGGGAAGTGCGCGCATATGGAACCTATCGGTTACCGTTCGCTCAAGCAATTCTATTTTACTTGAAACGATGGCAGCTGCTTCAGAGGAACAACCAGTCATCAACAAAAACAAGAGGCATCGCAAAGAAAAACGTAAGCTTCCAAACCTTCCTTATCAATCCGTGAAGGCAACTTTACATTTCAGCATGGGACACCGATGACATCGACCAGTGAGCATCGCCCGCACGTCAATTAAAACCACTTCTCACCGTACCTCCTCTCCAGTGTGAGCACCCAAATCACACATGCTTTAACACGTACTCAACTCTACTCCAGTGGAAAATCGATTCATTCCAAGCAGATGATAACAAAGGCGGCGTATTCACCGAAGAATCTTCTTTCGCAACCCTTTTCCCAAAATACAGGGAGAAGTACTTGAGGGAGGTTTGGAGCGCCGTGACCAAAGTTCTGGACGCCCATGTGAGTGCTCACATCCATTCCCCATACGATGTACACCATCAACTCAGCACCCAGGGCATCGCATGCACACTGGACCTAGTTCACGGATCCATGTCCGTCCGGACAACACGTAAAACATTCGATCCATACATCATCCTCAAAGCGAGAGACCTCATCAAACTACTCGCAAGAGGGGTTGCGATCACGCAGGCTCAGAAGGTATTACAGGACGACGTGGCTTGCGATATCATCAAAATTGGGAATCTGGTGCGTAATAAGGACCGGTTTGTGAAGCGGAGATAGCGGATTATTGGACCGGATGGGAGTACGCTGAAGGTGAGCGTTGTATAGTTTTGACTGTGCGCATGTCGTCATTGACTTTTTACAGGCCATTGAGCTATTAACCCAGTGCTATATTCTCGTACAAGGGAATACCGTCAGCGTCATGGGTCCGTACAAGTCACTAAAAGAAGTCCGACGAATAGTCCTCGACTGCATGAAAAACATTCATCCCATCTACCGCATCAAGGTGTGTCAACTAACATTTGTTCTTTCCGCAGCTTTATTGAAACGTTTGCAGGAACTGATGATAAGAAGGGAACTCGCAAAGGATCCCAAGTTAGCAACAGAGTCCTGGGACCGGTTCCTCCCCACGTTCAGGAAACAACATCTGAAGACCTCCGAAAAGACGATAAAGAAAAAGAGAAAGTCGCTGCTAAGGAAGAAGCGCGCAAGGTTGCAGGCCTCGACGCATCGAGTTCTGACAAAAAGGAGAAATCAGCAAAGAAAGTGTACACGCCCTTTCCCCCGCCACAGCAACCATGGAAGGTAATTTACTTTGCTGCTGGTTGTCGAGTAGTGCTGACATGATGTCCAGGTTGACCTTCAGCTTGAGTCGGGAGAGTATTTCCTCAAACCCCATGAGCGAGAGGCCCGGGAAGTTCAACAAAGAAAACAAAAGGTGCGTGTTTACTGCGCGATCCGCAACAAATCTCATCTTATCTACAGCAAGCTGAAGCAACACTCAAACGACGGGCAGAATGGGCAGAGGTGTATATCGCTCCCACAGAAGAGGCGGCCCCTACAGTTGAAGAGAAACGAAAGCGACGTCATAGGGATGTGCATGACGATGATGGAACTGCGAGGTCGAAAAAGAAGAAAAAGGACGTTGTTGCATAGGCGCAATGGACTTGTCACATCGTTTTGTGCGCGCATCGTGAACGCAATGCTACTCATAGAATATTTTGATGCATGCTGCATATTGAAGACATCCTACTGCCAATATTATGTTCGACCCATGATGCATTACTAGCGTTACGCCAAAATACGATAAAAATCACTAAGTACAAGCACTGAATCGAATCAGCAAGTGTCGAACAAAAAGCACGATCAAGTAGGAATATCCCCCTGCAGCCTAAAGTCCCTACTGCTCGCACCAATAGAGAACGAGATCTGGTCATCAGGCTTGCGCCACCCCTGAGCGACGACATCCCAGATAGACAGGTCATAGCGAGAAAGCGTGATCGAGGCTTGTTCTGTGCTTGACGGTGAGATTTCGACGTTTGTGAAGCCCTTTAGGACTGATGGAGGCTCGCTAGCGGAAGACGGGAAGTGAATGTAAAGCTGAGGAATCTATTCGTGTAACTTTGGCGTAAGCATTGGATAATGAAGCTAATGGGTGTCACGAACCTCCATTCCAGATACAGGTCCAGTGTTCGTGACCTTGAAAGTTACCTGGAATGCAGGCTCATGGAGCCTGGTAAGTAGCGATATCAGCTTGCAAATCCATCACTGGTCTTAATGAACCTCACCAAAGCGCAGTAGAGGACCCTTCAGCGATGGGCGAAGCCTCCCCATTCTGCCAAGCAGTGATCAAATCCGCCTGATTAGTATCCGAGGACTGAATCGGAGTCACGGAAAGCTCAGAGTACGTGAACGTGGTGTAACTCAAGCCGAAGCCAAACTCGAAGCGCGGCGTGATGTTTGCCTGCATTTAACCTTGTTCAAAACGTGAAATCACCAAGTCAAGTCAGGAAACTCACTTGATCAAAGTGGCGATAATCGATGAACAACCTGCGAAGTGAAATCAATATCAATGCGTGACCTTTGTTTAGTTGACATACCCCTCCGTGTAATCAATAGTAACAATCTCGCTTCCCGAATCATCAGTGATGAGTTGTGCGGGATAATCGGCAATATCCTTGGCAATCGTATACGGAAGTCTTCCAGAGGGGTTGTATGCGCCATAAAGCACGTCAGCGATAGCATTGCCTGCCTCCTGACCTTGGATGCCGGCCCAGACGACAGCAGTGATGTTAGGGTGCTCGATCCAAGGCTCTATAATGAGCGGCCCGACACTGTTCATGACAACAATCGTATTGTTGTTCTGCGCAGCGACAGCAAGGATAAGGTCGTCACCATTGTGCCAAGCAGTGAGGTTGTTGCTGGCTGGAAATGAACAAAGCCATTACTTAAATATATGCGAGGGACGTACCGATCTCCCTGGTTGCCATCGACAGTAATGTAATCCTCGCCAGAGTCGGAGTTGGTGAAAACGAGAGCGACGGCCTCGCCATACGCCATATTACCAGCCAGAGCGGTGTTCCAGTCGTCAAAGTCCCAGAACACGCTGCTGCCGTCCTGGCGAGCACGTTCCTGGATACCCTCTAGAGGCGAGATAAGGTAAGGGAAGTTACCAGTCCTATGTATCGTCAGTCAATTTTCAGGAAGAATACGAGAGAGAACACATACCCAGATCCCCAGCCCATGGCCAAAATCCCATCGCTTCCACCTTGATCTGAAAACTCGTTCGGGCCGGATTTGCCTGGACCCGCATCGCTTCCGATCAATACTAAGTTCCTTGGCTTGTTCAATGGCAGCGTGCAGTTCTCATTTTTCAAAAGGACCGTTCCAGCTGCGCCAATCTCCCTCACAAGAGTATAGTGATCAGCCTGCACGTTCACATGCTGGTTGGTCGCTTCGTCGTTCGGATTAAACGCGTTGAAGTTCGTTACAGGGTAGTTCTCGTCCTGGTGAAGGAAGTACCAAGCAGCGATGATACGCGTTGCCATGTCGTCCAGGCGAGCCATGCTGATGTAGCCGTCGTTCACATAGTCCGTGAGGTTGCCACCGAAGTAAGAATCACCCGAGTCAAAGGTGATATCGCCGGGCATAGTCATGTCGAGCCCTGCAACAGCAGACAATGTCGACATCGTCGCCGACCAGTCAGATTGGACGAAGCCTTGAAAACCGTACTCCCGCTTCAGGATATCATTAAGCATCTTGTCGTTGTTGCATGCGTAGGTTTCGTTGATGAGATCTGCAATTCGGATCTCAAATGATGTGAATGATATATGTAGAACGTGATTGAAGCTTACTGTAACTGCACATGACGGATGAAACACCAGCCATGACGCTGCGCAAGAACGGGTGCGCGTAAATCTCATGTTGAGTGCGGTCATCAACATTTGAAGATTCTGATGTGCGGAAGTGCTCCTGCTCACTAGAATGACAGATGAGTGCAAATGCAAATGAACATAATAGAAGACAAACTTATTGATGAAGTGCTTGGCGGTGGCTTGTACTCCGGCGTTTTGCAAGCCCAGAATTGTCTCATATGCGGATTCGCCGGTCAGGAAAGGGTCTGCACCGAAGCCCTCCCAGTTACGGCCGCCTTGAGCGACGCGACCCATATTCATCATGGGACCAAGGGCAATGTTGACGCCCTTGCCCTTGAACTCCTGACCCAAAGCCAGGCCACGAGCACGCATTAGAGGGCGATTCCAACTGTGATAGATATTATGGTAGATATCAGACAGGTTATATCGGTGAACTTGGAGATGACTTACGTGGACGCTACCTGAATGCCGGCTGGGAACGCAGTTGCGTAGTCGGCAAAACGAACAGCGAGAGGCGAGTCCTAGCGAATTGTGAGACAAATACCTCATCAATTCAACTTACGCACCTCAAGGCATAAACCGGGGAAGTTTTTATTGGATGGGATGTTGCCAACGCACAACCCATTCGCCCAACCGACACCCGTGGTGATGTTGACTTTTTCCTCGATGGTATAATCGGATATCTGAGTATCAAAGATGTTCAGCACGTGTCGACATAGAAATAGATTCCCAGCAAAGACAATCAAAAGAATGATTAAAATGAATGCACTCACAAGGTTCTTGGCTTTTTGGTAGGCAGTAGCCCAAGCAGGTGCAAAATCGGGCACGACTTGAGGATCGCTGCTAACGGAAGGAGGGCTCAAAGGATCAGTTGCAGGGTAAACTGGGGGGAGAGGGCTGAGAGTAGGTGTAGGATAGGGAGTGAACGAATAGCTAGAGAGCGGAACGGTGATAACACCGGTTGTGGACGCGCCTAAGGTACTGGCGGAAGCAGAAGATATCGTGGAGCTTGCAGCAGTTGATGAATAATTGTATGAGGTTGTCACCAGTGAATATGGACCAGATACCGTAGTGCTAACATTACCAGCCGAAGCAGACGGCGTTGCAGCAGACGGAGTCAAGGTCGGTGCACCTAGAACGAATGGAATTATACATGACAGCAACAGCTTGGACAGCATGGCGGCTGCACGCGTAAATTTCTGGGGGAGAATAAGATAAAAAGATGGAAGAACGACCAAAGATCATTAGGTTAATTTTATGAGCGAACCGAAGCTTTTGTACGTGGTTCGAGCCGAACGCGAGCCCGGCCGCGTGGAAACCCATAGCCGCTTCCTACTGCCAGCGCGCACTACAGTTGAAGCCGCCAGGATTAGAATTATATAGAAGCGAGTCAAGTTGAGATATTTGAAATGCATGCGTGAACAGACCGGCCGTAGCCACGGCGTCACTGCGAATCACGATGCCGCATCATTGATGCTTATGACCACGTGAAGCCAGGTATGTTCCCTAGGCCACGAGCATATTACAACTCTTTGCACATCATGCACGCAAGAGTCTCGTATGATCATGCCAATTAAGATTTCGTCGCATATTGAATGTTAATGTACAGAACGTTGTCACGGTACAATGATCAATTGATTACATCAGTCCCATCCAACATCCGACCCCAGCATTCCCTCACAACCCGATCTAACTCGCAAAAGCATCTCCCTTTACAATTGCACTTCAACTTCGTCAATGCTCTGAACTTTTTCAGTCCTTTTCAACTCTTCGAGAACCGCGAATTCAGTGGCAATGTATACTCTTTGGATCTGCAAGAAGGTCATCTACATCACGAGGCTCGGTCGAGGGCCGAGCGCTGAGCGCTGAGCACCATCATGATCTTACTTTAGGGAGTCAACAGTCGGGTTTCGTGCTCTATCAAATTCACATCATCTGTGTTATCACATCTAAATCATATCTCCGTGAGTCTCGGATGTCCAAGAGTTCTGCCAGATTCTGCCACCCCCCTTGCACTCGAGTTCTGCCAACAACACTATCCGGGCGAGTGACGACGAATATAACGAGACCGACGAATCTGCTGAAGAGGAGAAAGTGCAAGAGGGCAATAAAATCGCTGCGCAGCATTCGCTCCTTCCAGGTACCCCAGTCTTCCGTCTTCACGGTTCCCTGGAGTCCTACACCATTCCGTCTCGCCTCTACGTCTATTCCTTCCTTAAGGTTCAAGAAATGCTCCTGCAGCCTCTCTTCTTCTTTGCAGATCTGCGGCATCCCATGGTCCTGACCTATCCCTTGTTCGCACAGTCATACAGCAAGACCTGCCCACCAAAGGCGGTGCAACTGAATACGTGTACAAGGTGTGACAGATAGCACGCGCAGGAAGGGTGAAGCTTGGAACATCGTCACGCCCAGCGAATCCGAATGGGTGAAAAGGGTGGAGGGAGATGAAGGGGGATATGACGGAAGAAACGTCTGACGGTGACAAAGTCAACATCACTCTTGAAGGGGCAAGCATCGAGGACGTTTTAGCGAAGGGTTTTGGCGGCAAGGGCTTGGAGTACGAGGGACGTGTGACAGAAGTTCAACTTCCTTTTATACGGTGGGTTTTGCGGTGCAACGCGGTAATATTGGTTTGGAGAGGAAGTCGAGCGTGTGCTGATGTCGTCCCTGCAGTACGCTGAACTTGCTCGGAGAGTATTTACTTCTCACATGAGGGCATATGCGACCCATCCCTCAAACGAGAAACACGTCTTCCATGTCCGACACCTTCTGATTCATATCGGTCATCTCGCAAAAGCATTCGTCTTGCGTGAAGCGCCGAAGATGATTACTGACGGGAAGAACAAATTGACCAGTGCGTCCAGAGGTCGTGGCTTGTGTCCCGCTAAACCCACAAAGCAACAAGCAACAAGATGTCGGCGAACATTGTCCGTGCGCAGGGCCAGCTGTCGAAGAACCAATGAATTTCAGATTACGTCAGGCGCTGCTTTGGATTTACTTGTCCATAGCAATCGATTGTAGTCCAATGGCAGGGCTTTCGGTTTCTCTATTCTATACACCACTGGTGACGTGGTGCTTTACCAGTCTATGAGATACTATACATTACGAGATGGGCGAATCATACTTGATCTAAACAGCAGATGTAAAAAATACAGTCATGTCATCAAACTATAGCTATGAGTGATTCGCGACCTCTATGATAGCGCGAACGGGCTTTTTGAACATACCATTGCTCAAGAGCTCGAGGCTAGTATCAACAATAGATCTAATGTTCGTAGGTACTTGAGATAACATTTTTCATAACAAGGAGTGGAGAACATCACGTTATCTATCGTACCACACAATATACTACGTTACTTGCTGGCACCAATGCTAATCTCGCCTGCCTGTGGCTTATAAGCACACATTGACAATGGAGTAGGATTCGAGTGCTAGCGCTGGGCTGCACGTCAACAGCTCAAGAGTCCAGACTGAATATAAGAGAGAATTCCGATGCATCATGTCATGGACTAGATATCATGGAACATAAGGCGACATCAGTTGTGGCTCCTTCGAATAGTTGAAACACGCACCTTTATGAATTTCTGCCCTTCAGATAAGATGACAAGGCAAGACTGCAGACCCTTCAAACACCACTCCATTTCCAGCCAGGGGATAGAATGATTGTTCCAAAAAGCCTGGAATATATGGTTGAGCATGTCATCCCATGGATGGGGAGCATGCGAGAGATGTACAACCCAGTTGTGACAGGCGTACTTGAGAGCGTTGGAAGCTGATTGACTTTGTTCCTGTGCTTCATTTGTGAACCTCTGAAAGGTATTCATAGCATGAATTATCTCCCTGTCTGGTAGAGGATGACTTTTTGGTAATGCAGAGGTAGAATGATGCTGGTGTCTTAATGCCAGGAAGACTGGAAACATCAAGAAATCTGGCAAGGTCTTGAACTGCTGGATTACTTGGAAAGCTGGCAGTAAAGGCACGTCATTGATAATGATATACTCATTGGTTGCTTCCAATGTCCTCATGAATTCCTCCATTGTCACCCAAACAGAGGCAGCAGGAGTGGATTGCCATGCTTGACCATGGGGAGTCTGCAGCCAGTCTCTTCCTTTCTGGGTCAGCAGCCAGTCTTCCCCTCCTTGGGTCAGCAGCCAGTTTTGTCCTCCTGGGGTCTGTAGCCAATCTTGTCCTCCCTGGGTCTGCAGCCAGTCCCATCCTTCCTGGGTTTGCAGCCAGTGTTGTCCTTCCTGGATCTGCAGCCAGTGTTGTCCTCCCTGGGTTTGCAGCCAGTGTCATTCTTCTGTGATCAGTGGCTGAAATCGTCTTCTCAGGATCAGCCGCCTGAATGATTGTTCCAGCATCAGTGTTAAGAACCATGTTGCTCAAAGGGGAGAGAGACTGACTCAGAGGGGCTTGGCCTCAGCTCGTACGCTGTGCCCCTTACCTGAGTATGTGCCCTTCATTTTGTATGAGGTCCAATGATGGTCTGACAAAGTCCAGAGGACTTCTGGAGGCTGGCTACTCTGCTGGAGAGTGCTAGAGGACTTCCAGAGGAGCGTGGGAAACATCCGGAGGAGCGTGGGAGAGTTCTGGAGGAACACAGGAAGTGCTCAGGAGAGTTCCCACTGCAAGGTAATACTTCTACAGGAAACAGGATGGAAGGATAGGAGGTCCAAAGGTCCAGAGGATAGGAGGACAGGAGGACAGGAGGACAGGAGATAGATGTCCGAGGGTTAGGAGGATGGAACTCTGGGCAGGTCCGAAAGACAGATGTCAGAAGAAGGACAGGAGCTCGGATGGAGGTTTGGAGGATGGATACGTTGAAAGGGACAGTGATGCCTGGATGGAGGTATGAGGGACAGGAGGCCTGGAGAGGTCAGAGGACAGAGGTCGAAGGTCTGGAAGGAATAGGGGCTACATTGGATGAAGTCCAATGTAGAAACAAACAGAGGTAGACTACCCTAAGGTAGAGTTGGAGAGACAGGGATTGGACCTAAGTCAGAAAGAGGGTAGTGCCGGAAAGGTGGAGCTCTGGCCTAGGGAATCAATCCCTAGGCCTGATGCGGTAGGACTAGACTTAGGTGGACCAAAGTCCAAGAGAGGATTGGGCAAGTCTAAGTTGAATATTCAAACTAAGGAATACAGGAGTATCTACAGGGGTTATATACCTGAACAATATCTGAGGGGATCAGTAAACAAAGGAGCAAGCAGCTATGTATGAGCATGTGGAAACACATTAGTAAGTAAGATGGAACATAAGTAAATGAACTTGGAGATGAAGACTTGTACAAGGATCAATAAGCAAGATGGAAGAAGAGGTAACTGAGGGCTGGAAAGGTAGAGATGCCTAAATGGGGATAGGTGCAGGATCTTGGACAGAGGGTGGGAATAGGTCTGGAGTTAATATCCAGAGGTCCAGAGATCTGGGGATCTGGAAGACAAGGTGGATACAGGACCAGGATATGAGGAGGTGGATATAGTCCGGAATCTGAGATGAGGTGAAGTCCAGATGTCTTGCTGGATAGAGTGCACATAGGGTGGACAGGATAGGGTGGTGCGGATCAGGCTAGCAGTGAGGATCTGGAGGTCCAGAGCTCAGGGGTAAATCTGGAGTGGAGTCGATCCTGCTGAGGTGTGGAGCACACAGCGGAAGGGGATCTGGGAATGAGTTGGATATGAAGTGGGGTCCAGATGTAGGCTCGGAAGGCATGGGAATATGATGGAACATGGGTCCAGATTGTGGGATATGACAATCAGCCAGAATGTCGGCCAGAATATCAACTGGAATGGTGCTTCCAGGATCTGCAGCATTTCTTCTTTCTGGTTCTGCAACTAGTATGATCTTCCAAAGTCCCACCACAAATGTGATCCTCCCTGCACCTGTGGCAAGTCTTGTCTTCCCTGTGTCTGCAGCAAGTTTTGTACTTCCAGCTTCCACAGCCAGTCTTGTCCCTCCCAGGTCTGCAGCCAAGATTGTAAATCTGAAGTGTGATCTCCTCGGAGCCACATCATCCAGATGATAGCTGACAGTGGCTTTTGTTGCTGAACAAGGAACACTAATGAGTCTTTTAACCTATGGGGGTCCTCAGGTTGCATAACATTGCTTTGCTTCTCCAATTCTGAGAGTGCATCCAAAAGGGCTGTGCTTTCTTGAATCTCTTTCATCATCAAGTGTAGAGAGGCATCAGCAAGTAAGGAATGGGGTAATGACATGCTGTGCACTTCAGGGAGGCTGCAGTTTGAGGGGTCAGAGACATAGTCACGAATGGATGAGTGATATACATTCACAGGGAGACTGATGTCAGTAGGAATATTCATGACAGACCGTAGCTGTATTAGCATTGTCTGCATGTCCCTTCCCAAACCAGGACCAAGAAGTGTTGAGATTTGTGAGATGGGAAGAGGGTCTGTGAGGGTGGCGACAATGGACAAATGCAGGTATGCCCACATGGGGTCGGCACACGTGGACAGGATACAATCATATAACTTATACACCTCCGTTCCTGGCAGCAGCTCACTTGTCAGCTTGAGCATCAGCTGTAACCGATCATGTGGATCCTTGTCTTCATTGTCAATAATAAACTTCATCATCATAGACACCATGATGAAATGTCTACCTGCTTGGCTTGCCAGCCTCACAAGGTCAACCTCCAATGGCTGTGGGAAATTGGGATGGCGACTTTCCAGCTCTCTGAAGGAATACCACAAGAAAGTACAGATGTTGTTGTCAATGTCTGCACCATCCAACAAGATGATGCCACCCTCCCCAGAAGTTCTCATGGGTATCTCCCACACCAACAAGTGCACCTCTTTGTTCTGAAAGGCATTAGAAATATGAGATTCCAAGTGACTTGTGAACAGAATGTGGGTTATGGAAAGATCAGGCTCACGAAGAGCCTGTGCAAGGGAAAGGATGAGATTGGTGAGCTCGGGTTCAGACATGCATTCATCAAGCGCATTGACAACAAACAACAAAGGCAGACATCTGCGCAATCTGAGTTGAAGTTTCCGGAGGGGTTGGAGAAAGAAAGCCTCCATCTAGTTGCAGAGAGGTGTGTCTGGGTCTAGTAGAGTGGGGTTGTTGCGGATGGCTCTGTTCACACCTTGCTGGATACTTGGAAAATTGGTGGCAAGCTGGTAGACAAGTGTCACAAAGAAATATCCAGCTGTACAACATTTGGTGTGCTTGCACAAGAAAAAGAATGTTCCCGCTAGCTGCTTTTTGACATTCGTCTCTTTGGTCATTTTTAGACCTCTCATCTTCTCAGCTACTGTAAATGCAATGGCAGACTTTCCAATGCCAGCTGTGCCATGTAGCCAAATGAGTTTATTATTCTCTGTGTTGTCCAGGAATCCATGGATATGTTTGAGGAGATCCACCCGAGTCCCTTGCAAACATTTCGGGTGGGGCTGATGCTCACAGGAGTTATATTGAGCACCCTTGACAGTGACCTCAGGTAGCTTTGCCCAAGTTCCTTCAAGAACTGTTTAAGAGGTCAGAGAGCATGCGAGACTTAAGAGACAGAAGTACTGACATTGATTGCCACTCATTTGTGATGAAGGTTGTGATATGCGAGATGCAATGAACCAACTGAAAGTACTAGCCAGGTTTGAGGGTGCTGTTAGAAACCATCCAGGTGACAGTTATCTTCAGGGACAACGTATAAGGCTTTGAATCAAGGTTTGTAAGTTGTGACAAGACTTGGGTCGTGAAACAATCAAACTGTTGAGCGATGGAAAGAATGAAGTGTGGTGGAGATGGGATGGATGAATGAATGTTTTAATCTATTTTGTTATAACAAGCTCATGCGATGGTTGTGGAATGCAGTTGAAGGACAAGTGAGTGGGTGCTTGTCTGATTGCACATATGAGGATGTACACAAGGTTGCTGTGCATGCCAACATTATTGCTAGCCAGTCAGCATCTGCTACTGCACAGCCAGTCAGAATGACATGTAGCCTCCAGAAATTGAGAGAGATATTAGGAGTTGTGATCTAGTGTGGGCAAGGTGCAAATAGTACTTGAATTCGAGTACTAGGCTGGTCATGAGTCTAGGATTTGAGCTTGACTGGACAATTAGCTCTATAAGATGTACATTTGAATTGATGTCTACAATACAGTGGCTCAAAAAACTGTCCGCATGTTTTGACATTTTTCACTATCTATGATATTGTGTGAGAACTCACAAATGCCTCAAGGACATGCTTATACCACATTGTAGTATGGCTTCAGGAGAAGGCTTACAAAATCATGACTCATGCGGACAGTTTTTTGAGCACATATTAAAACTATATAAATCATCATTTATGACACCATAAAAATCATGCCACCATTAAATAAATTATAAAGTGGTGTCATTATGTTCATTTTAAAACCATATCTAACTATACAAACCAAAAATTTCCATATGTCATGGTTATATTCACCATGAAAGCCACCCCCCTGCTCAAAGGGATAATATCCTCTCTCTTTCCTATTCTGGCCTCTCTGCTTGTCAAATTTCCTCTAGAACTGGAGTATGCAAGTCCACTGTGGCCAAGTTCATCAAAGAAAGTCACACAGACAAGGAAAACTTCTGTGAAGGGTGTCCATCCAAGCTCATCTCTACTGATAGGAGGGCTATTATTCAACATATCACTACAGGAAAGGCTGATAATGCTGTCCAGGTCACCTATTACATCAATTCCACCATCACATTCCCTGTCTCTTCACACACTGTGAGAAACATTCTCAAGACAGAGGACTAGCACCCTTCTTGTTTCACATATATACCTTGCCATCTGACCCAATCCTATTTATTGTGGTCTTATATGATCATATAACATGCTTCCAGTCCATGTAATCCAATTCTGATGGGCTAAGGCAAAGGTTAGTCATCTCTGTTTATGTGTGATAGAGAGGAGAGCCTTTTCTTCCTTGTTACTGACCTGAGATGAGCTGTCTTGAGAATGTTTCTCACAGTGTGTGAAGAGACAGGGAATGTGATGGTGGAATTGATGTAATAGGTGACCTGGACAGCATTATCAGCCTTTCCTGTAGTGATATGTTGAATAATAGCCCTCCTATCAGTAGAGATGAGCTTGGATGGACACCCTTCACAGAAGTTTTCCTTGTCTGTGTGACTTTCTTTGATGAACTTGGCCACAGTGGACTTGCATACTCCAGTTCTAGAGGAAATTTGACAAGCAGAGAGGCCAGAATAGGAAAGAGAGAGGATATTATCCCTTTGAGCAGGGGGGGTGGCTTTCATGGTGAATATAACCATGACATATGGAAATTTTTGGTTTGTATAGTTAGATATGGTTTTAAAATGAACATAATGACACCACTTTATAATTTATTTAATGGTGGCATGATTGTTATGGTGTCATAAATGATGATTTATATAGTTTTAATATGTGCTCAAAAAACTGTCCGCATGAGTCATGATTTTGTAAGCCTTGTATCTCTACCATATCTTCACCGATTCCCACGGTGTAGGGCTCAAATGAAAGCCCTGAAGCCATACTACAATGTGGTATAAGCATGTCCTTGAGGCATTTGTGAGTTCTCACACAATATCATAGATAGTGAAAAATGTCAAAACATGCGGACAGTTTTTTGAGCCACTGTATATGTTGAAGTTTCTGGATGAGCATTGAGCACCATGTAGGGTCCACTGTATCACAGCATGAATTTGGTGACACAGTTGTTGCCTTTTTGGATGTACTCTCGACAATGGTGTTTGGTTGCAAGCAGCACCTGATCGCCCGTTTTGAAGGTCATAGGCAGCGCCTGATGCTTATTGACCTGTGTAGCTTGGGCTGCCTTCGCTGTGAGTAAGTTATCTTGTGCCTCCAAAAGGTCATGTTCAAGCTGTGAAAGCAGTTTCATGGCATGCTCTTCTTCAGACTCATTTGTACCAGGTACAGCTGTGACCACTAGGGGTGGTAGCATACATGGCCGTTGTCCCAGGTGCAGCTGAAATGGCGAGAAGCCAGTGCTTGCGTTCACTGTATTCATGATCTGAAAATGTACCTGGGCAAGTGCATGAACCCAACCCTTGTGATTGCAGTTGATGTAATGACATAAGCACTGATTGACCATTTTGTTGGTGTGTTCACTTGCTCCATCTGTTTCTGGGTGGTAGGCCATTGACATCTTTAACTTAATACCCGTTAGTTTGTGTAAGGCACACCAAAACTTGGATAGGAAAATCTTATCCCAATCTGAAATAATTTCCGTTGGCAGTCTGTTTTCACAGTACCAATGATCAAAAAATAGTGTTGCAAAGTGTTTGGCTGAGATGTTGTCCTTACATGGCACCAGTTGGACATCTGCATTCAAACAGTCTGTCATTGAAATCAGCATGTTGTATCCACTGTCCTCTGGTAGTGGTCCAATGAAGTCGATCACTATGGAGTCACCACATGCTTCGGGGATTAGCAGTGGATGTAATGGCCCTGCTGTCCCCGTTGTCCTTGACTTGTTGCGCATGCATTCAGTGCATGATGGGATATATGAGTCAATCAAATCCTTCTGCATGTTTGGCCAATAGTAGGCAACACGTAAGATTTATCTGCACCAAAGTGGCCAGCAGCAGTCATGAGCAGCATGAAAAAGATGCTCATGCAGGTTGTCCACTCGCAGAACCACCAGCTGATCTGTGATGTAAAACAGGCCATCGCTATCCTTTCGCAACCCTGGCAAGGAGTCAACAAGGTCGTCCAGCCATCAGCACCAAGTGTCCTCATTGTATCCCTGAATAATCATTTTCACAAGGCCAAGTCGCTTTGAATGGTGAGTATCACTGCGCAAACTTCAGTGATGTCCTCTGAATTTCTCCAGTGTGACAACACATCTGCAGCTTCGTTATCCTCACCCTTGATGTAGTTGATCATGATATCATATTGGGACATATATTCTGCCCACTGTGCCTGCTGTCAAGACAGATCACACTGGTTTTGGAAGTTCTGTAGCATTTGGTGGTCAGTATATACATCAACGTGTGCACCAAGCAGTTCCAATTGCCATTTCTTTAATGCGTGAATGATCGCCAACAGTTCTTTCTCATGCACAGGGTAGTTCAGTTCAGCTGTTTGCAGCTGTGTTGAATTAAACACCACTGGTCTAGCAGATTCCTGTGTATGGCCCCATGATAACATAGCACTGGTTGCATAGTCAGACGCATCGCACATCAAGAAGATTTTGTTATTGCCCGGCTCATCGTGATTAATCGTGGTCAGACATTGAGGACTCACAATAAGCTCCTTGATAGCATTAAAGGCAACTTCATGCTCACTTGTCCATGTGGGAAATTTCACCTCTGAGGCTTTTGTGGTCAGTGGTGTGAGGATTCGAGTGTGTTGCACTACATCCAGTAGGTGCTCAGCCAGATAGCGCACAATTCCCAAGAAGGAACAAGCATGCTTGGCCTTTCTTGGTCTGGGCCAATTCAAGATTTGTGTGACCTTTGAGTTATCCTGCTTCAATACCCTGTTCAGAGATGTAGTGGCCCAAAAAGTCAATCTCGTTGTTGAATAGTGAGGTCTTCTTCACCAAACAATACAAGTGGGCCTTCCAGTAAAGACTTGAGTACCTGGCAAATGTTCACCTCATGCTCCTCAAGTGTTTGCAACCAGATAATAATATCATCGAGGTACATGTGACAGATCTTGCCTATCAAATGATGCAGAGCCGATGTCATATGGTGTTGATGCACAGCCAGTGTGTTCCATACACCCATTGGCATAACCATCCACTCGTACTTACCCCATGGTGTGTGTATCACCAGAAATTTCATATCATCTGGATGGACTCATGTCTGAAAAAATGCGTTAGTCATATCAATCTTTCCAAACAACTTTCCTTTTGCACAGTCCTTCAATATCTCATCAATGTGGGGTAGAGGGTGATTGTCCGCAACTGTGTTAAGGTTAAGTTTTCGAAAATCATTTACCCACTGAGGCAGAACTGAGGGGTCCAGCTTAGAGATGATGAACGAAGGTGACAACCATTCACTATCAGATGGATGCAGGCAGCCACTTTTAATGTGTGAATCTAGCAGAGTTTTCCAGGCCATTTGATATTTCTTGGGACAATCATACAATCGGAGTTGCACTATTTTGTTAGCATCCTTCAGATTTATCTGAAACAATACATCACTTGGCATTGTATCATTGTGCGGAATGTCAGCAGGGAATCGGTCCTTGAACACCTCCTTATACTTAGTATCCAAACCACGCAATTGCTCCTGGTAGAGCAACACATCAATGTGCAATTGTATTGCTGCCACAACATCCATGCCTTTCACCAGTTCACACTCACCATCAACAATTTCTTTTAGTTCAGGTAAGACGCCCTTCAGTTCGTTAATGACATCTCTTTTCATCCAAAACAGTTGTGGACTGTCATATCTGCATATCCAGATCTCAGATCTGACCCTTATCTCAGATCCACATCTTATCTCCGATGCTATCCACATCTTATCCCCCTCCAACATCTCATCATTCAATCTGTCCACTTGTCCGGTCCGGTCCACAACTCATCCGAATCCACAACCAGCGCTCGTCTCTTTTCGGTAACCCCCTAACTCCGGTATTTCAGTTATCTGTATATCCATCCTGCTCCCTTATCCACTACCTATGTTTCATTTCCATTTCATGATCTGTGATCCATTTCTACTTACCAATAGACTATCCACATGCTTCATACATAGCCTCAGACTCTGCTGATTGATCATTCCGTTAGATACCTATAGTATATAACCTCCTGTAACTTTCTGTAGTACCTCAGTTTGAATATCATCTTAGTTCTGCTCATTCCTGTCCTCCGGACTTGAGTACCTCTACTCTCATCACCCTCCAAGACTTAGGATTGATTCCTATAGTCTATCCATATCCGCCTCTGTCCCTGACAGTCCATTACCATTAGTTTCTAGTCTGGACTCGTCCAAATTAGCCATATAATACTTATCCCTCATCCAGAAGTCATCCGTATCTGCTACGCTACTTGTCCAACCTTCTGGACACACTAGTCTTGCCTTCCTGAAATAAGGGGCAATACTTGGGTAAGGGGCACAGCACACAAGCTGAGGCCGAAGCCCTTCAGATCCAGTTACCCTTTGAGTACGACCTTAACATGGACCCAATACAGATGTGTGAGAAGGTGAAGGTGTACTGGCGTTCTTGGCTGCAAGAGATCATAATTAGTGTCTTTAGCAATGCAAGTATGTAGCTCATGATATATGACAATTTGATTATGCTGGAGGAATGGTCCTCCCAGTAACAAGGAAGTACAAAGGTTTGGTGCAATGAGCACACAGTACAGTGTGTGACTTGTAAACTTGGTCCAGTGATGTACATGATATCTTCACGTATTGAGAAAGAGGGAATGATTCTTTGCCATGAGACAGTGCAAGCGAGATGGGTATAGGCTTTGTGAGTTGACACCAGCATAATCCAAGTTTCTTGACCAGTTCTTCACCAATCAGAACTAAAGAGGATCCATTGTCAATAAGAGCAGAAATGGTTAAAGGAGAAGAAACAGCAGGCCCATCAACCAGACAGTCCCAACAAAGCAGAGGGGTTTGTAGCAGAGCCATGCACTCTTCACCCAAGTCAGTACCATTTCCTAGCACTGCAGACTGGCATCACTACTGCCACTGTTTCAGCGTCTTCATCAATGTCAACTGCTGCAACTATGTCCTTCTTCTTCAATTTCTTTGCCAAAACTGCAGATGCTGTGAGTGTCTTGTATGTGGTGCCATCTGGGAATCCCTTTGGGCAGTTAGATGAAGTATGGCCAGCAAATGGTTCTCAGCACTTGAAGCAACCATCATTGTCACGCAACAGTTGCCTTTCAGTATCAGTTAGGGTAGGCAGTTAAGTGAATGTTTTTGAATGTGCATGTGCGCTACTGTTTTTGATGGTCAATCACACATTCGAGTTCCCCTTTTTGTTATTGGAGGCGTGAGCACATTCATTGTGTAGTGCCACTTCTACTGCTTCCTTCTGTCTTGCAAGGTAACACAGCCATTTTTCATCAAGAATGCGGACCTTTTCAATCCATTTGCATAAGTTTTCCTTGACGATATTTTCTGCATAGGTAATCAGCAGCAAGATCAACATTCATATGTAACTCAAGGTGGTAGAGGATGTTGACTTCAGGAAGATGAGATGCCATCCCCCTAAGAAGCGTATTCTGGCTTTGCACATCTATAGCCCACTCGCTGAAGGCACGCTGTCCTTGCCTAGATGCCAACATCTTCCTCCTCACAGTATCTGCCCAGCCTATGGGAAGCCAAACACTGCAAACTTCAGCCATATATTCTTTGAACATCATCACATCAATTTCTTCTTGGTTCGTAATATACCAGTCTTGGATGTGTGGATCTTGCATTCCCCAAGCGACCTTCTTCACCATTTCTTCCTCAGGGACATCCTTGTGAATGAAGAACTGGGTACACCCCATCTCCCATGACCATAAGGCCTCGGGCGTCACTTCTCCAGCCGTGAGGAAAGGAGGTTTGCTCGCAGAAGATTGTTCTGAATGTGCCGTTTTAGATGCGGACATGATGGATGTTATTGGTGTATAATCAGAGTCACTTGATTCAGAGTCAGTGCATATATGCGCACTACTCGGTGTGAGAACACTGGGGCTCTCCAGAGAACAAGTTGTAATTGGTGACGAAAGTCGGTCAGGTGATGACACACAGTCCAGTGATGATACATGATCCAGTGAGGTGTCAGGTATGTTGGCAACTGTTCTTCCAAGCTTTGAATGACTTCTTGTCGTGATGGAAGACAAAGGTACAGGAATATGGGAGTGGCAGGGAGGCAGTTTGTAAGTTGTAAAATCAGCAGGTTGACCAGATGCGGTCAATACCCGACAGTACAGTTCATTTAGGTAACAGTAGAATCAGTGACAACAGAGGCAATTAAATGCTCAACTGAATGTTAAAAAAAAGTGGAAGGCTGTTACAATAAACAGCCAACACTAAGCAGTCAGTCGGACAGAGATAACGTGGATGAGCATATGTATTTGACGGTACAGTAAGAGAGATAAAAAATGTGTGTACAGGAGTGACGCAGTTTAGATATCTAATGGTCCAAACAGCGAACAACAACCTGCGGTGTCCAATGATGACGAAGACGACGTCATGTGTAGTAAGCGTCATGCTTACACTCGGGTGGTAGTCCTGATGTACAATGACTACTACACCACGACAGCTACCTCAATTTGTCTGAAAGTAACGTAAATCTACTTGTTTTCATGTGTACCTTAATCCTTGCTGGCCAAAATGTTAAAAATCCGAAGTTCAAAATTTTCGTTGCAAGAATCAGAAACATCACAAGAAAAACAGTAACTGGAGCCTAGCCAGGCACTGTGGTATGCCTGGTGCCCCAAATGACATGACAGAGCTGCGGGAGGTTGCTCTTGCCCCTCCAGCATAGCTGAAACATGCAAGGACTTCGGCCGTCACACGTCAAGTACTAATGCATAAATGGGCCAGTGCTTCACAGGAATCACAGCAAACACTGCTTGTTGTGCCTCTTCTAATTTGTGCAAAAATTCAACAAAGTGTAGAAAATAGTAGTGCTATACCTATATATAAGCACCCAATATCTGCGGTACATAAGATTGACTTTGAAACATCTCCCAAAAAAACCTGAAATTGGTCAAAACACAGCATGTTACTTTCTAAGGAGTTATGGTCTGTTGTGGTAGCATATTTCTGACAGGGCTGTACAGAAGGGCTGGATTTGAATTATGTGCTTCTTACACTGTGCGGCCCGTCAGGCTCCAAGTATGTCGTTCAACATCGGCAATGGCTTTACTCTCTGCACCTCGCGCAGGCATACTTTACCTCAACTGATTCCTGAACAAGCGAGCCGTACCACAGAATGCTATAGCTAACCCTGGTGGGGCTATAGAGCAATGTTCAAATTGAACTTTTGTATGCGGGGTCAGGGGGGAAAAGAGACTCATTAGCCTTTCCACTTTGGTCCTGGGCAGTTACTTACCATAGCACTTATCCAGTGGCACCAGTGCAACATATAAGCGCTCTCCCTCGCAGATATATACAGTCGTGGCTATGGACCTGTACCCACTAGAGCCCACCTAAATTCCATATCTCTTCCAGAACAGGTTCGTACGATCTATATCTCACTCTAGCAGCTCATACTATATGTAGCCTGCTGACTTGTCTCTCTACCGTAGATGGCCACCTGTCTGTGATGGCGCCGATTCAAAATCCCACCGGATCCTCTACCAATCAATCAGCCGCTGATTTCGAGCCTGACGAACAATGGAAGAGTCAACTCAAAGTTGACATCGAGAGCAACTTGCGTTCCATGGTCGATGAAGCCAAACAGAACCTACATGATACCCTGAAGAAAGCCCCAGTCAGCATTGTCGAGCGCAAACGCTTGACCGAGGAACACCTCACTACCATGAAGAATATCTGTAATCTTGCTGAGGGGCAATTCCGTATCTCCCTAGAACGTGAACGCCAAGTACGCCGTTGGGCCGCCGGTCAGGTCTTAGATCAGGAATGGTCGGACACCATGCGAAAGGAGCAACAAGCTATCCTAGACAATATTGAAAGAAATCACAAAGACAAAGCTACTCATTCTTCTCAGCCTATCGCAGATCCTTCGATATCCCGTTCTAACCGTCCTCCAGAACGTGTTTGGACCGAGCACGAGCACGAGGCAGGTTACTTCCCTCGTTTATCTAGCCGAGAATTTGAGGAAGACCATGTGCCACCACCTCGCAATACTGGCAAGGCTCGTGCCGGGTCTGTCAGTAGTGCAGTGGGTTCATACAAGCTACCGTCCACGTTGGATACAACAGACGGAGGTTTTGAGCGCCCAAAACCTTCGCCTACCATTGACGAACTAGACGACATACCTAGATCTGCTCATTCAGCTACGGATGTTCAGGACAGCATCCGATGCGGAAGCCCATGCCACAAAGCTAGCATTTCTACTGGACAACCCCCAGAAATCTGGCGCCCTTCTATCACGCCTGAACAAGACGCTCAGATGTCTCGTACTTTCAGTATCGCGCGTCGTGGGAGTACGGCAAGCGCTACCTCTTCTTATTGGGCACCGTCAGTGCTCAACATTCCGTTTTCTTACGAACCGCATGACAGTGCGATGGAGAGAGAGAGGGAGCGTATTTCGGCTATGAAACAGGAGTGGAGCTCCATGGATAGAATGAGACAAAGAGAGAGAACGATGTCGTACACTTATGCTGAAGCTCGAGCTAGCGTCACAGCCACTCCTCAGTGGCTAGACGAACGTTATGCACCGCCCTCATCCTCAGTCGCACCCATCATCAGCTCCGCAATCCCACACACTCGCCCCGTAGAAAGCTCAAGCTCCACAGCCCCCATCGCATACACTCGCCCCGCACACAGCCAAAGCTCCACAGCCCCCATCCGCTATACCCGCTCCTCAGACAGTTCTCGCCCACACGCACCCCCACCATCAGCCAGCAGACCCATCGTCACCAATAAATCGTTCACGTTTGATGGTGGTGATTTTCAGGCTAGCCCGAGTTCCAAAAGCTGGACTGGTCCCTCGCGCTCTCCACAGGCACCAGAAGAAATTCCACAGAATTGGTGGTCTTCTAACTTGTGCGCAGGGCCGTCGTCGCAAGACATGCGCTATGGGTATAATGTGGGCGAGACTGGGTACTATGCTGCTCGGCCTGTTCATACGCATCATGAGGTGTCGGAGGGGGAGCATGATGTGGACCTCGATGATACTGAGGGCGAGTATGATGAGGTGTCAGAGGGGGAGTATGATGAAGTGTCGGAGGGGGAGTATGATATGGACCTCGATGATGCGGAGTCGCAGGAGTATGATGAGCGCCAGATGCCTCAGAGAGAGGCAAGCGTGAGTTTGAGGAGCAAGGGGGTTGCTCAGCCTGAGCAGGAATCGAGGAGGGAAAAGAATGCGAGACGGGAGGCTAAGCTAAAGGAGGAGCTCACATCAGACGACAAGCAGAAGGATGGATTTCGGAAGCACAAAGATAAGAAGAAACAAGAAAAGTTCGAATGGGAGTCCTGGAATTGTAATCCACCGGGGACTAGTCGACCCACGCCACCTCCCCAGATGGCTACTTCTCAATCTCAATCTTCTTCGTCTTCTACAGGTCCTTGGCCAATCACCAATCGTAGTGACCATAGCATGCCTGAACCAAGTCGGCCCACAGATAGGAGTAGCTTTGGATCGACCAGCACTAGCCGTATCAGTGCTGCCTGGACATCCTCGACTCGGCCAAACTTGACAGCTAGCTCGTACCCACCGAGCACACCTAAGCCACCAACACTATCAGCCCAGCAAAATGCCAAAACGATACTCGGTCCCCCACCTACCTTCTTTTCAGAAGCGGAGTTCCACCGTCGTCAGGCTGAACAAGCTCAACAGCGTGAGGAACAATTCCGTCGCGAACAAACCAAGTTAGAGCAGGAAAGACTCTCGAAGGCTGTCAAGGTCAAACAGGTCAAGCAGGACGCTAGTGCTATCGAGCTCTTTGAGCGCCATCGTGGTCAGTGGGATAAATTGCAGATGTCCCGCATGTTGATATGGGACAATTTTCCATGGCCTGTGTTCAAACGCTCCAGCGGCCCCGATGATATCACAACTCCTGGCATCATTGCCTACATGTTGTCGTCTCTGCATCCTATCGACAAGTCTCCAAGACACCGTGTAAAGGAGAACATCAAACGGTGGCATCACGATCGATTTGAGATCTGGCTTCTACCGAAAGTCAAGGAGAGCGATAGAGACAGTGTGCGAGAAGCTGCGAGTACTGTGGCCAGGACGTTGTACCATCTTCTACGCTCCGGTACACAAGATCCCGATGTCTCAACCGCTAGCTCACGCATCATTGTACTCGAAGCACCGATATTATTGGCACAGCAGAACACCAATGTGTCATCCCACCTCACATACACCCCCATTCCAACTACACAGATTTCCACTTCACCTTCACCGGAAGCAACAGCAATAGTGGAAGAAGCTAGCCAAGAGTTGCCCGATTCTGTGTCAGATTCACTGGAAGATCTTACCAATGAGCTCCAGGGGAAGTCGTCTTTCCCGGCCGCTTCCGGAGGTTTTGGGGACATCTGGAAGTGTATTTTGGTCAAAGCTAATGAAAACGTCGACGTATGCTTCACTTGTGTTACCTCCTGCTGCATTGTCCTGACCATGATCCAGGTGGCAGTAAAGACCATCCGTGCTTTTGAGATGGATAACGAGGAGTCGAGGCAGAAGAAAGCGAGGGTAACGTCTCTGTTCCATGTGCCTCAAAACTTGTAATGATGGTTCAGTTTAGAGAGTGCGCCGCGAGCTGAAAGTTTGGGGCCGTCTCAAACATCATAGCATTCTTCCACTGTGGGGAGTGGCAAACGACTTCGGGCCCTACCTTGCAATGATTTGCCCGTGGGCCGTTAATGGAGCTCTCACAGGCTATCTTGAGCGCCAACAAGATACGTTGTCGTCCTTGGATAAATTCTCCCTTGTAAGTCTGGCATATCCAGCATCTCCACATGCTTGTTGACTTCTCTGGTGCTTGCCAGCTGAATGATATTGCGCTTGGATTGCAATACCGTAGGTTAATACTCACTGCACATTTTCAAATGTTCATGTTGGTTCAGTCCACAGCAAATCAGTTGTCCATGGTGACCTAACGGGGGTGTGTACAACCACGCAGAAGGTTCTCATTACTCACTTCCCACCTCTCTAGTCAAATGTCTTGATTTCTGATAATGGTCGTGCATGTCTTGCTGATTTTGGTCTCTCTACTATCATCGTAGAGTTCATCGGTACCTCCTATTTTACGAGCTCCATCCGAGGGAATGCCCGATGGGTAGCTGCAGAGTTATGTGAAGCACCAGAAGACAGTGAGGCCTCACTGAGCACCGAATGCGACATATATTCATTTGGCAGTATTACATTGCAGGTCAGTAACTTGAATTTTCCACCGTCGGATCTTATTCATATTTCGTTCGCTCTAGATATTAACTTGCAAGGTACCCTACTACAATGTGAAAAAGGATATTGCGGTGTTGAGCCAAGTCATCAAAGGGATTAAACCGGAACCTCCTGAGGAATCGCAAATAGCGTCTGGGCACTGGGAGTTCATACAGCGATGCTGGTTGCCTCGTGCCAGTCGTCCATCTATTGCAGAAATTGTAACATTTATAGTACGTGAACAACAAGCTCTGTCACCCTAGTCCTCTGGTGACACTGACAATACCGTGGTGCTGGAATGTAACAAGAGCTGAGCTTAAGGAAAATACGTACAATGTTAGAAAGGTCACCATGCATCAATGAGTATTTTCAAATTCGACTCGAAGATCATCTTATGTAAACTCCTCGTAAGGAAGGTCTTGTAGTTGGTTGGCACTTGATTTGACCCGAACGTTAACTTGACCCGAAGGAGCTGACTTCATTCGTACTATGGACACGTTGTCAACATGGTATATTTTCAGTGTTCAGCAAGCTAGAAGTACTGCCAGACTCCCGCGATTCTTCTTTGCCGACGAGTCGCCATAGACTATAGTTCTCTAGGCAGCTCATGACTGACTGGGACCACTCGCTTGGCGTGAAGAGTACGAACTTTTGCAGTGACAACCATGCATATGGTCTCCACCTCAGCAGGTTAGTGCCAAGATTATTAACTTTCAGTGTCGTCTCACACCAACAGGGCTGCCACTGCTTCAAGCAATGCCAATGACAGCTCGTTCCAAGACCCTACTAGTTATATATAATTTGACCAGAGTTCAGTCCTTGTCTATTAGAAGCCCTCATCAACCCTTCCGTTTGGATCCACTAATACCGTGTATCAATCAAGTATTCGGGGTCCTGGAATCTTGGATCAGTCGCTTCAACCCACGTGCACAAGCCATTAGTAGGCGCCCTCCTTTGCAGACTGATATCACACTTGTCTGCCTTAGTTCCGCGTTATCTCTCGTACCGGTACATGTACCTCACTCCATTCCATTTCACAACTTTTTCTCAAGTTCAGAGAGGTTCGTGTAATCATATTTCCTCCAGCTCATGATAGTGGTCAGACAGCATGGTGAAGGAGCATCAGCCTGTAATTCTGGGCAAGATTGGACTGAGTGAGTGCAAAGACAAACCTATTCATCCTCTCCTTCGTCCTCTCTCAACGTATTGCAGAGGACTCAAAACAGGCTAATCGCTCCGTACCTCGTGGTGTCGATAAGGGTCCTGTCGGATCTACTATTGGATTTGGGTCAACGTCGGATACGAATTTTGAGCGCTTTAAGCCTTCACACACCATCGGTGAACGAGAGGATGTGACTAGACAGCAATTCGCGAGTTCAGTTACGGATACTCAGGATGGCTTCAGGCGAGAAAGACAGCCCAACAAAGTGGGCATTTTCACGCCTGGAGAAGACGCCCAGGCGTCTCGTCATTTCAATGACACCCACCGTGGGGGCATAGCGGGTGTTGACCCTTATCGTGTACCACCACTGCCCATCACTGGCAAGGACCGCGATCGTATTTCGGCTTTGGGTCAGGAGCGAGACAGACAGAAGTCATATGCCAACATTAATACCACATCCTCTATCCTGGCCTTATCTTCTTCGGCGACGTGCAACCCAGGTTATACGGCCCCCGTCAATGCGCCCCCAGTTTCTGCTATTATCGGCGCCATGAAATCAGTTTCGTTTGAAGATGGCGGTGAACAGTCTAGCTCGAGTCCCAAAGGCCGGAGTAGTCTGTCGCGCCCGCAAGTTTCATACACACGCCCCAGCGTACCAGCGCCTCCTATTATCAGACCTACCGCCACCAAAAAATCGGTCTCGTTCGATAGTGGCGTTCAGTCTAGCACGAATCTTTATGATCGAAATGGCCCATCTGACATCCAGGATCCATACGTACGCCGCAATGTACCCCTACCGTCTAGCAGCAGACCTATCGTCACCAAGAAATCGGTTTCTTTCGATAGTGACGTCCAGTCTAGCACGAGTCTTAATTATCAAAATGATCCGTCTGACATCCGGGGTTCGTACGCACACCACGGCATACCCCTACCGTCTAGCAGCAGACCTATTCTCACCAATAAATCTATCCCGCCCAACATTGGCGGCTTTCAGTCTAGCTCAAGTCGCGAAGGCTGGACTGATCCGTCGCGCTTGCCATATGAAACCCGCTAGGACTCTTCGCACTCCCCAGAGACACCAAAGGAAGTCTCGCAGAGCTGGCAGTCGTCGTCTAACAGATTCAATTCTCAACACCCCTTGCTAGACGTTGCAAGCGGGAGTCCTTACTATCCCGTTCGGCCTACCAATACGCAGCATGAGGTATCTGGGGGCGAGTATCATCCAACCTTCAACCGATCTTGGAATGAAGCACAGCGCGAGATGAGAAGAAATAAGGAGGAAACCAAACCCACAGAAGACGAAGTCAAGAAGGAGGAAGGGCAGGCCCAGAGAAGGGAAGGGCTTACAAGGCATGCGGAGAACTCAACAAGGCGATTTGGTGGGGAAGAAAGACGTCTAACACAAGATCCAATGTTGCAGGTGGCAAAACGACAAGAAAATGAAGTTAGACGCAAAGATGAGGAAGCTAGGCTCAAAGGAGAGACGGCACGCGCGATGGAGGAAGAGCTTCATTCGCTGGAAGATCTCACTAATAAAGTCCAGAGGAGATCATCCTATCCCGTTGCTTCCGGAGGTTTTGGTGACATCTGGAAAGGTGTTTTAGTTAAGCACGGCAGGGACGTCCAGGTATGCACAGCTTGTGGCACTTGCTACCATATCACCTGACTGTGATGTAGGTGGCAGTGAAGACCATTCGCGCATTTGAGTCGGACAACGAGGAGGTGACGCGGAAGAAGGCGAATGTAATGTTTCTATTCCATTCACGTCAATCTTTCCGATGATGACTCGGCTTAGAGAGTGCGTCGTGAACTGAAAGTTTGGGAGCGTCTCAAACATAACGGCATTCTTCCACTCTGGGGGGTGGCGAATGACTTCGGGCCCTACATCGCAATGGTTTGCCCATGGGCCGATAATGGAGCTCTCACTGGCTTTCTTGATCGCCGACAAAACGTGTTGTCGTCTCAAGATAAGTTCGCGCTAGTAAGCCCTATTTTGCAACTATTTCTAAATGTTTGTTAAGCTGTCAAACGCCAGCTGAATGATATTGCCCTTGGGTTGCAATATCGTAAGTCGGTTTTCACTACGCCCGACTTTATAAACACTTATAGTGTGTCAGTCCACAGCAAAACAGTTGTCCACGGTGACCTGACGGGGGTGTGTATAACTACTCACAGAAGGTGTATCCTTCATTACTCACGTCCAGACTCTCCAGTCAAATGTCTTGATTTATGGCAACGGTCGGGCATGCCTTGCTGACTTTGGTCTCTCCACTATCATCCTAGAGTTCGTCGGTACCTCCTATTTTACGAGCTCCATCCGAGGGAATGTCCGATGGGTAGATGCAGAGTTATGTGAAGCACCAGAAGACAGTGAGGTGTCACTGAGCACCGAATGCGACATATACTCATTCGGCAGTATCACCTTGCAGGTTAGTAACTTGAATTTTCAACCGTCAGCTCTTATTCATATTGCGCTTGCTCTAGATATTGACTTGCAAGGTACCCTACTACTATGTGAAGAATGACATGGCAGTGTTGGCACAAGTCATCACGGGTAAGAAACCGGAGCCTCCCAAGGAGTTGCAAATAGCATCTGGGCACTGGAGCTTCATACAGCGATGTTGGCTGCCTCGTGCAAGTCGTCCATCGGTCAGAGACATTGTGGCGTTCGTAGGATGGGAACGACAAGCTCTGTCATCCTAGTCCGCTGAACGGAGCAACGAATTGGAATGTAACACTTCTCTACGAGTGCTTCACACCTGGAAAGTGGTGTTGAAATGGCTTGACATGATTCAAATATCAATCTGCATTTTCTAGGCTCTGGCCTCACCCAACTCAAGCTTCTATCAAATTCAAGTATGTAGTACAGGGGATCATCTGTGTAACTTCGTCACATTTCCCTATAGATTTAAATAACGAGGCCCTCGAGGCTTCAGCTGACAATCAGAGTCGTTCACATCTTCGTGCTTCCAGGTTCTTTGTGGTTCGCGGACTGGACATCATACTATCCTCGAACTCAATAGGGTTCAATCAATTACTCGTTTTCTAAAGCTAAGTATATTTTCTACGAAATAATAACACCTCTTCCCGTTCCATGGAGATATTCTGCGATAAATCCTTTTCAGTTGTACAGCGAGCGTCTGATCGATTGTATCAGAGCAGATGGCCAGCCCAATCTCACCCTTCAATTTGAAAATTCAAGTAGTGATGCTCCTGGTGGCTTGCGAAATTTGTGCCAGAACGTTAGTATACTGGTTTCGAACCGTTGTTCTGTTCAATCTTTCCATCGGATACATCACTGGAGCCGGCCACCCCACCTCGGTGGCATATCCCACTCCAGCAGACATGACGTATGTCATAGCCCTGAACCCTGGTTATATAAGTTGGGCGACGTCCAAATCCATCGAACTCCCTCAAACAAGCCCCCTCAAAATGCCCAGCACCGTTTCACCCACTCGGAATGTCATCTTGTATTTTGTTGCGCTGTACGTCTGGCATCTGCTATTCTCGACGTCCCAAATCACTTTTTTCGATAAGTTACTATACTAAAATCACGTCCAGGGTCCTTCCGCCGGTAGCCGTGTTTTTTAGTGAGTACACGACCCTTTCATCCTTCCTACATTATAATATTAATTGCGACGATGATAGAACGTGGATGTGCTGCAGGTAAATATTAATAGTGCCGTTCAAATCCAGTGATGCATGCCGTTTTGTCAGACTTTTGGATTAATATCTGTCTTACGATCTTGGGTTGGATACCAGGAGTCTTGCATGCATGGTATGTTAGCTTAGCTTCCATTCATGCAGTCAGTTCATTTGCTCAGATAGTGGTCATCTAGGTACCTCATCTCTCGGAGCGAGAGAGCAATATAATGACGTCATGACGTCATTGAGCTGCGCGTCTCAACCGTACTACAGACTCGAGAAACCTAACTAATCTATATATCTCACATTAATCAGAACGGAGCAACATGATATCGAATGCACATCTTCAAGTGACAACTCTACAACCATTATTAATGATCATCCTTGAAGGAGTGGAGTGGAGCTTGAATCAAGTGGAAACTAGCTGCGAGCAGATTTTCTCGATGACCAGAATTTTGGAAATTCATCATATAATCTTGTTCAAGTTGTCAACTGATTTTGAAGAGCCTGCAACTGTGTATGCACGGACTATCAATTCAGTGATGGTTATGGCAAAGGACCGCTTACGTAAAATTAAATGGCTTATATGAGTCCTAGTAGTGCTAGTGAATTTCGAAATGCTAACTTGGGAGCAAATTGAAAGGTGGAACTTCCCGTCACTAGGCTACAGCTAATTTGGCTCGTGCGTCTGCTGCGAGCCTGTGTATGGTAAACTCGTGGATAGTATGTAATCGCATCATGGGACCATGTGCGCCTAGCTATGCCGCAGTTCCGGACGGACAGAGCCGATGATTAGATGTATGCATGTCTGCACAATTCAAGTTATAGAGACTAAAAGGTGTGTAAGAGTCCTATGCTCATCAGTTGATTCTAAGCTTTGTTAGGATAGGATTTATATTTCCATCAGTTCAGTCCATGTCTTCGCTGTCCATTGATGCAACTGATTCGACCCTTCATTAACAGGTTATCGACCTTGGTTTTCGGTCCTGTTGAATCCTCGACCATCACACCCGCCCGGATCGTGAGCCTTACAAAAAGTGGAAGAGTGGCCTGAAAGTTGGTATTGAGAACAACTTGCGTTCCATGGTCAACGAGGCCAAGCAGAATCCCAACGATACCTTGAGGAACGGTCCGAGTCCGAGGAACACATTATTCCGATGAAGAGCATCCATAATATTGCCGAGGAGCAGTTTCCTGTTGCACTAAAACGTGAAAGCCAGGTCAAAGCTGCTCAGTTTTCTTCTCCTTCCTTGCAACTTCCCACAGATACTTCACAGTCGCATGCTTCCGGTCTTACACCCGACGAACATGACACCTGGTCTCCACAACAGCCCTCGGAGGTCAAGCACGATTCAGGATATCTCTCTCGTTTCTCCAACCGAGAGCGTGACCACGTATCTCACGATACCAACAAGGGTCGTGCCAGGTATATCAACAGCGCAGTAGAGTCACCCACGTTGGATATTACGGACAGAGCTTTTGAGCGCCCAAAGCATCCACCCCCCATCGAACTAGATGACATGCTGGGGTCTGCGCATTCAGCTGCGGATGCTCTAGACAGGCGAAACCTTCTGCGCACAGCGAGCCTTTCCAACAGACCTGTCCCTCCAGAGTCCTGGCTTCCGTCAACGCCTGAAGAAGACACCCTGTTGCCTCATATCTTCACCATTTCGCGACAGGGGAGCACGACGAGCACTGCCTCTGATCGGACACCATCAGTGCTCAACACCCCATCTTTCACCGAGCTGCATGACGTGACTGCCAGCGCGAAGGGGAGGGGGAGGGGGGGAGATCGCATTTTCACCGTGGAACAACAGTGGAGTGCCATTTACAGAGCTCGGGATAGAAGGCGAACAACGTCGCACACATATATTGAAGCCAGAGCCAGTGCCTCTACCTTCGAGCAGTTGGACGAGGATTATCCACCACCGACACCACCACATTTATTCCCTTCAGTGGCATCCAACCCGCGCTCCGTTGTCCCCGCCACCAGGTATTCTCGCTCCTCAGGCAGTTCAAGCTCTATGGTCCCCATGGGGTACTCTTACTCCTCAGACAGCCCTAGTTCCACAGTCCCAATGGGGTACTCTCACTTCCCCTCGTCCTCGCAGTTACCCCCACCGTCTACCAGCAGGCCTATCGCCATCAAAAAATTGTTTTCATTGGATGATGACGGCTTTCAGTCTAGCCCAAGTCCCAAAGACTGGGATGTTCCATCGCACTCGCCGTACGAAACCTATGAGTTCTCGCATTCTCCACAGACACCGGATGAGCTCCCGCGGAGCTGGCGGTCATCTAGCTTCCGTTCTCGACTCTCCTCGCAAGACAGGCGTTACGGGTATCAGCATGCTCATCAGTATGACGATGACCTTGACAATCTAGATTTGTGGGAGTATGATGAGCGCAGGCTTCGCCAGAGGGAAGAGAGCTTCCGGAGGAGAGAGGAAGAGATTTCTCTGCGGGAGCAAGAACTAAAGAGGAGAGAAGAGGATGTTATGCGGGAGGAGGAGGCCAAGCAGAAGCCCAGGCCAGATGAGAAGGAAGCCAAACGCGTGGAAGACGAAATCATGTACAAACAGCCTGAGATCGTAAGACAGGAGGAGGGCGAAGGAGCAGAACACGAAGAAGACGCAATCAAGTGGAAGGAAAAGCTTGCGCAGAAGAAAGAGGAGAACGCCGGGAGACAGGACGAGAAAAGGGCCGAAGACCTCGGGCGACGAGAAGAACCAGCAGCGAGGCGTTTAGAGGAGGACGAAAGACACATGACACGAGACGTTTTGCGAAAGCCAGAGGAATCAAAACGCCAGGAAGATGAAGCCAAATTCAAAGAACAGGCATCACGCACCAAAGAGGAAAAGATTCGGAGGAAAGAGGAAGAACTCGCTCGACGAGAGGAAGAACTGTCTCGTAGGGAGGCAGAGGCAAACCGCAGATATGATCAGCAGAAGGTCCAACAGGAAGAATTTCAAAAACGCGTCAAAGAGATAAGGCGCCAAAGTGTAGAGGAAAAGACGAAGCAGGGCTGGAAGTCCTGGGGATATCATCCACGTCCGACAACAACACCACCTCCCCGGATGTCTACTTCTCGATCTTTTTCATCTTCTACAGGACCTTGGTCAATCTTCGGCCAAGACGAGAATATGTCAACAGCAAGTCCGCCTGCCAACAGAGGCCGCTCTGCATCGATCAACACTAGCCGTAGCAGCACGACTTGGACGTCCTCAACTCGGTTGAGCTCGACCGCGAGCTCATGGCGGTCGAATATATCTAAGCCGCAAACACCATCAGCCCAGAGGAACCAACCTTGCCAGATGTCCCCCCCCAACAGTAACGAGCTTCACATGTCTGCAGCAGGAAGTTCGACCATAGATAGGGGCCGCACATGTACCAGTCGTAGCAACGCAACCTGGACGTCCTCGAGCCGGCTGAGCTCAAACGCGAGCTTACACCTGTCGAGTACACCTAATCCGCAAACACCATCAGCCTACAAGAACCCACCCCGCCAAATGTCTACTTCAAAATCCTCTTCGTCTTCTGCAGGACCTTGGCCCATCCCTAGTCGCAACAAGCTTCACATATCTGCAACAAATTCACATAGGGACCGCTCCAAATCAACCAGCACCAGCCGTAGCAACACACCCTGGACGTTCTCAAGGCTGAGCTCGATTACACGCTCACAGTCATCGAGGACACCTGAACTTCAAACGCCAACATCCCAGAAGCGCTCGCCTCCCCGATCTGCTTCGTTTTCTATAACGGGACGGCCAGACCCTAAGCGTAACGACCTTCACATACCCACAACAAGTCCGCCTACACATAAAAGCCGCTCCAAATCGACGAGTACTGGTCGTAGCAGCTCAACATGGGCGTACTCGACTCGGCCGATCCCGACCGTGAGCTCACAGCCCTCCATTACACCTAGGTCGCAAAAACCGTCAGCCCAGCAGAACAAGAAAGCGGTACTATGTGCCATAGAAGCGGGGGCAATGAAGGAGGACAGCAAAGGTGGTGGAATCAAGTGTAAGGAGACGCAGGCCAGGAACAGGACGGTTGTTGTTAGACCAGAGAAGGAGAAGGAGGAAAGATACATTGTACATGATCGATCAGCGAAGTCTGGACGCACGGCGGAGGAAGCCAGACTTGAAGCATTCGGGGCAATGCACACCACAGAGGAAGAGGTCCTGAAAGAGGAACAACCAGTACGAGGGAAAGAATGTGACAAACCGCCATCCCATGTATGCAGTTTTCTTCCTTTCCTTCACTCCCTCTTACATCCTTCCAGGACAGTGGAAATACGCTACCTCAGACGCAGTCACTCCTGAATGTATGGATGTACGTTATCGATATATACCCCTGACTCACGCAGCTATCCAGACTCCCACTTCAGAAACAACGGCGATAGAAGAAGATTCTCTGGAAGATCTAACTAATGAACTCCAGCGAAGATCGCGCTATCCGATCGCTTCCGGAGGCTTTGGAGATATCTGGAAGTGCGATTTAGTGAAGCCTAGTGGGACCGTCCAGGTAGGCTCAGCTTGTAGCATTTCCTATGGTATTGTCTTGAAAAACACGCAGGTAGCAGTGAAGACTATTCGTTCTTTCGAGTCGGATAACGAGGAACTGATGCGGAAGAATGCGAGGGTAATTTTCCTCTTCCATCCGTGTCAATCTTTCCAACCATACCTCGACGTAGAGAGTGCGTCGTGAGCTGAAAGTTTGGAGCCGTCTCAAACACCATAGCATTCTTCCCCTCTGTGGAGTGGCAAACGACTTTGGACCCCACCCGGCAATGATTTGTCTGTGGGCTGATAATGGAGCTCTTACCGGTTTTCTTGAGCGTCAACAACACGTGTTGTCGCCTCAAGATAAGTTTTCCCTTGTAAGCCCCTTGTGAGTACCCCCAGACGTTTGCTGACGTGCTGACACGCTAGCTGAATGACATTGCCCTTGGATTGCAATACCTTCACAATGAATCAGTTATTCATGGTGACCTGACAGGGGTGTGTATCGTTACTCAGAAGGTGTATTCTTCATTACTTACGTCCAGACTCTCCAGTCAAATGTCTTGATTTATGGCAACGGTCGGGCATGCCTTGCTGATTTTGGTCTCTCCACTATCATCTTGGAGTTCGTCGGTACCTCTTATTTCACGAGCTCCATCCGAGGGAATGTCAGATGGGTAGCTGCAGAGTTATGTGAAGCACCAGAAGACGGTGAAGTCTCGCTGAGCACCGAGTGCGATATATATTCATTTGGCAGTATCACCTTGCAGGTTAGTAACTTACCTTTTCTGGCGAAAGACGTCTGTTCATTTTGCGCATGCTCTAGGTGTTGACTTGCAAGGTACCCTACTACAACGTGAAGAATGAAATTTTAGTGTTGGGACAGGTCCTCAAGGGCAAGAAACCAGAGCCTCCCAAGGAGTCGCCAATAGCGCCCGGGCACTGGGAGTTCATACAACGATGCTGGTTGCCTCGTGCAAGTCGTCCTTCGGTTGGAGAAATCGTAGCATTTGTTGAATGTGAGCTTCGCTGAACAGATCAACAGGGTAATGAGGGAATTTTAGTTTCGAGGGGCAACGCTGCAAGTACATAGAGGTGCTTGAGTAGAAACCTGTCTCGAGTAGCAATCATAGGTGATACTTTATCCGCCCAGTGCTATTGTAATTCTCGAAATCGGCCCGTCTTGTATACACCAAAATGATACCTCGAACACCGTAATGAAACCTCAAATCAAACTTCATCCAAACGGATTATTACAACTGCATCGAATGCAAAACCCTTCTGACAAGATATTCTGCAACACAGCGGCAACACCTATAATACAAATCATCGAATGAGTGGAGGAGTAGTACTAGTGGGGCTTGAATCAAGTAGCAATCGCGAGCAAAAATATATGAGCTCTTGTAGTGAGTTGTCCAGACATCCAAACCCATCCCCGGGACATCATTTGGCACTCGAGGCGTACTCCTGCCAAAGAGTGTTCACAAAATCTTTGTCCGTCTAAAAACACAAAAGTCAGAGAGCATGTTCTGGACTCGATGAATGAAATAGAACATACGTGTATGAGAGTCAAAACTTCCCGGACAAAGTCGTTCTTCGATAAATTACTCGAACTTGCATTCTTCTGGGCGAGAGCAGACAGGAGAGATGCGTGGACAGCGTGAGCGTCGATGGCGTTTGAGCCATCAACAGAGTTCTGGCTAGCCACAGAGCCAGCACGCTCCGAGCGTACATGTTTGGCCTTGCCATTAACAGGAACTGCAGGTGTCGAAACGACACCTTGAGGCTGCGAAGTTGGTACAACATTGACAGGCGGTGGCACATCCCAGCTCTTCTCTATCTCCTCTCTCTCTCGCTCACGGTCCTTCTCCCGCTCCTTCCGACCCTTCTTCAGGCTCCTCCTATTCTTCGAGCGCTGCTCCCTTGCAAATGCATCCGAATCGCTCAACGCACTCGTATCAGCAAAGTCGAGCTCGATCACATCGGAATCTGCTTCGACAAACGGAGCACGAGGGTATGGCCACAAGTCAGAATCTGCCTCGAATGGAATAAGCGAACGAGGTTTGGGTACGCTATGTGTGCCATTGACGCTGGTCAATGTCGGCGTGGTATCTGGGTCCCCAGGTCGCGGAGATGCGACAGAGGGAATATGAAGGTGTGGTGAGGCACGCGAGTGCTTCTGAGTCTGAGCAGCTGTGAGGAGGTCCCCGACCACCGTGATATCAGAGTTGAAGCCTCGGAGTGGCGGACGAGGGGTGACATCGCCCAGGGTTTTGCCACTCCCATTTCTTGTGCGGTTGGACTCAGATTGGCCTATAGGTACAGCGAGGAGTGGCAGCCCAGAGGATGACCCTGCAACATGTAGCTCCATATTATCTTCTGCGTCAGCATCAAGTACAGTGCTAGAAACAGAATATCCTCCTTCTGAGATAGACCCGTCATCGCTTGCCTCGTTGTCACCCTCATAGGCACGGGACGCAGGGAACCCAAGGAGCGTGGAGATGACATCTTGATTGAGCACCTGAGGTAGCGCAGTAGAAGTTGGTTTGGGAGAAAGGATGAGAGGACTTTGTGAGCTGGCAGTGTGTCCGAACGTCGTGGACTGAGCTTGTGTAGTATATGTGGTTTGTGAATGTATGGAAACAGATGAGTGGAGGGAAGCTGATGAGTGGAGGGAAGCTGATGCTGCTCCAGAGCGAGATGATCCACGACTGTGTTGGCTTGATGGTGGTGGTGGCGGTGCTGAGGCGAAGATGGTATCCAATAAAGCTAATCCGCGAGCCGGAGGGACAGAATTGGAGGTCGGTGGTGGAACGGACGCCGTTCTATGAGTATTTCCACTGCCGGATAGGCCAATTAGTAAACTTGCAGCAGTCGACTCCTTAGTCCGTGATTGTAAGGGAATCTGCTGTGGAGTGGATCCCGTGCCCCCTAGCTTGGCAAACAGTTTATCGAGCTCGGATACATTCCCGTTGGAACTACTTTCCGAAGAGGTAGGTTGACTTCCTGTATGATACTCTTCCGACTCCGAAATGCTATGTATGCTGCTGGCGTTGGATGCGCTCGATGCTGAGCGCATATGTGAACGTTCTACAAGACATTAATAACAATTCTTTGAACAAGCTTGCAGTCCGCCTACCGCTGGCCCTCGATGATGACCGGAAGTTCGGGGGAGGAGGACGATCCGGGCCATATCTATACTCCTCTGGATATGGAAGATTCTTCTTGATATAGCTATGCAATCTACAAACACGTCAGAGTATGCGCAAACATCGAGAAAGGCCTGCCACTCACCTCAACACAACGTCTTGCATACTTTCTCTTGCATCAGTTGCAAAGCACCACAACCCGACCGTTTGTGATCGGCCTTTCTCAGCATCTTGTAGTTGTTCTAAATTTGGCACGACGAACTCAGGAGCGAATTTAGATGCAGGACCTTCCTGCTTGGAGAGGGGTAGATTGGCTCGTGCTTCTGCGAGCCTGCGGGCGGTAAAGTCGGGATAATGACGCATCATGAGATACGAACCATGTGCGCTTATGCCATCTTCTGGATAGAGTCGCTGGATGTAGTCATCCATGCCCACACGATTCAAAATATAGAGACCATAGGGTGGGTAAGAATCCCTATAAAAGATGAGCCTACAGAAAAGCCAAACAAATGTGTTGAACGCACCGCTCGTACAAAAACATACTCCCCTCATAACCCTGCTTCTCCCATTTGTCGCCATTATGGTGGTACACACAGACGTGACTGAACTGATCGAATATGGATACAATAGAGGGGTCTCTACGACGAACAACCTTCATGTTCGATAGATAGCGCGACTGGGGAGACATTCCTAGATGTGATTGTGCAGACGGGGGTTCTGGAGGAGTTGGCTCTTGTAATTGCGGCTGTCGGTGACGACTTTGCTGAGAGTGAGTTGATACAGAAGAATTGGAACGAGCTCGGCGAGGAGGACCCATGGCAGATTTGTTGAAGCAGAGTTATAGTAGATAGTGGAGGTTATGAGGCAAGGAACACGTACAAGGCAAAGTGCTTAGCCTGTATAATCAATCTGCCACCCCCATTTTGGGAGGTCGAATTGAAAACATAACTTCAATTGGTAGCTGGTTCAAATTTCGATGAAAGACGGAACAATGACGCATACTGGCATCGATGTACAGTACCAATAGTAAATTACCCTGCAACGTGTGATAGAAAGGCAGCTGGTGCAAAAAATTCTTCCTTCCTGTTCCCGTTTTGTAGTGGGTTGGTTTGCCCAGACCAAATTCTATCCTCCACATGTCCCATGATACAATCGTACTCATACCAGCGCCCTCGTCAGAGCCAGCCACGAGTTGAGCATGATATTCTCGAATGCCAGGGATGATCGATGAGGCGCGGCCCCGGCACAAATATCTGAATAGGCTGCACAATTTGAAGAATGCCGAAATAGATATTACTTACCATGGAAGACGAGTCCTGTATCAGAAATGGTGAGTAGATGTCAATCCCAGTTCAGCGCACCATGAGCATCGGAGACAGCGAGACAAAGTAGTTTCAGAAGCCTTCGAGGAACAGAATTAAAGTACATCATTCTGGGGGATTTTGAACCTGAATGGAATATTTGAACACTGGCAGTGACGGAACCCGTTTTAATACCGTGTACTCGAGAGGTTCTGTATTAGTTCCATCAGATACCATGCAGTCATTAGCCCAATACAGACCAATTACAGAACCTCCCTATTTCTAAGCTGTGCATGACAGAGAAACGGACTGATCATAACGGAGGCATGCGCAAGGATCAAATTGACTTTACAAACTGCCAGGAACAATAAAGTCACTGCGGTCGACTTTGCCATGTCGTGATCGGGGAACGTTGATGAAAACATCCATCAGATCATAACGTGTGGTCGTACAGCAGGTGGTTGTGTCAACGCCGTGTTGAAGTAAAGTGCTGCGGGGATGGCATAGCCACGACGATTGCCCTTGGTATTTTTCAGCACTCTAGTCTCTTCTAGTCTCCCCTAGAATAGATGGTCATTTTGGGTCAAGTAGCTGATGAGTGAAGCTGAACACTCTGGTCCAAGAATCATTCGACGAGACGCTCTCAGATCTGCTGTTACCTTGTAACATTGTTGTAAGGTCACATAATTGTGGCTGTACAATCGACCCCGTGAGAATTAATAGCAACATAACGGCGCCGGCGCAAGCTCCTGGCTCGCTATCGAACTTCAACTAGTCTTCTTATTTCGTTTTGCGTTAGCAAATGACTGCTAATCATATCATATGTGGTTCTAATTGCATGATATTCTTCAACTCGTCTCGCACTACAGACGTCCTTCTCAACCGGTCTTAGTCAAGTGGTAAGCGTGACAGGACGGAAATCTGCTGCAGGTTCGAAATCGACTCAACAATATTTTTACTTTTATCACGTTTTGAACATTCACTTATGGATGGATCCTTCTTGAGTGATCATAGCCAAAGGCACCAGAACAGATTAGAAATCCTAGATTTAAAGCCTACTGACAAATGTTTTATCAGTCATGGACAGTCCAGCTTCGACTGTCTCGAGAGTCGCCGACACGATCTATTAGGTTGGGCTGGACTGAGCGTTAGCTCGAGATGGGACGCAAGTAGGTGGGGCCGCTCACCCAACAAGCCGAAACGACCTGTGGCTCATAGCCTAGCTGCCTAGCCCAACCAAACGTGGAGGCGACGACTAGGAAGATATAGCATTAGCTAAGTGTTGGGAGGAGATTTGCTCGAATGCGCGGATATAAGTCTCGTATGCCAATGACTTCCACCGGCCAGCGATTCGAATTATTTCGGGGTCGACTTTCTGTGCAAGGTAAAACGATGCGCCGCCCATGCGAAACGAATGACCAAATGATGTGCCCCATCCCCCTGCTACCAACATCGAGTTGATCCGTTCTAAAGCTCGAACTTTCACCATCGGGCGAATCTCACCCCTGCTGTCGCGCCATGAAAACAAAGGGTCATCTGCGAGGGCAGGAACGACCATTGCCAGATTGCGGAGAGCTGCCAACGGACATAAATCTCCCTGTTCGGTGAGAAAAATAGACTGCGTTTCCCCGGCTCGCGCTGTTTTCGCTGATGGAAGGTCGAGGCGTGCATAAGGGGTGTTCCGCAGGTCGTGACCGAAAAATGCGTGAGCCCGTGTGAGATGTTTGGATGGGTTAAAGGCTGAGCGGGAAGTGACGGAGACTTCGCTGAATCGCATCATACCGAAGAAGGAACATGATGCCATCGCCCAAACGCAGGCGTCGAAGGGGTCAGATAATATAAGGGCGGCCTTGATAACTGTGAGCATAGCTATAGAAATAGGTGGTCGGAGGGGCTTCCGACGGCCAGCCTGGAGGTTCTCGAGCCCTCGCAAAGACCATTTAATTCGTTCGTAATCCGAACTTGATAATGACGGTGGCCATCCCTGTGCAATGTGCCAAGCTCGCACGGCAGACAGGTATTTACGAACAACCCCGACAGAGACTGGTTCGAAGCTAGCTGAGCTCCCCACTGCTGATAAAAGAGGGTCACTAGGCTCCGGGTCTGTGGCTGCCCACAGAGCGAAGGAGTGGAGCAATTCGAACGATGCTGGAAGACGGTCGGATTCGGGTATTGAAAACACGTCGCAGAAGACACGAAACTTCCGCAATCCAGTGTCGTAGCTGGCGGTGTCACGAAGGGCTGCCTGGTTGGCCATATTAGCGATGTGGCGAATGATTGGGTGGTCAATGGTGGACAAAGGGGGGGAATTCATGCCTCGCCAATGGAAAAGTCTTTCTGAGGCCTTGCAATGCAGATAGAAGTATGAAGGGCTAATATTTGAGGCAGCAGGCGAGGGAGATGGTCGGCTGACGTATGGTGAAATGTAGTCCAGTGCTCTCACGACAATTGGATCAGTTTGTCTGACTTAAATGGGGTGGTAAGTTGGCACTGGGGATGCACCAGCTAGAAAGGCTTTGACGTCGCCACGTGACAAAGTGTCTTGCGGGAAGATAGTGCCCTGGCAACGGACTGTTAATTTTTTCTACCAATCGAAATATGCCAAACTCTCTTGCACTGCACAGGTTCGAAACCTGCCGACCACAAGTTTTCTCTCTCTCTCGGAACACACCCTGATATCCACTCATGGATGGTTTTATTGGAGGTTCATCTAACTGGTCTTAACTAAGTCATTACCACAACAGAATCGAAGTCTGTTTCTCTTGGTGCAGGTTCGAAACTTGCTGATTGACAAGTTTTTTTTCTACTGGAACACCCTTGAAGCTTGAAGGGGATGGTTTCCTCAGAGGTTTACCTCAACTTTGTCCTGGCCAAAGTGGTTACCACAACAGAGTCTAAATCTGTCTCTTGGACTGTGCCAGTGTAGGTTCCAAACCTGTTGATTTTCCTATCAGAACATGCCTTGAAGATTCACTCATGGATGGTTTCCTTGGAGTTCATCCTGACTGGTCTTATAGCCAGGTGGTGCCAGTTTTCATGATAGAATAAAAGTCTGTCAAACCTGCTGATGACAAAAGTTTTTTTCCCTATTGGAAGTTCAGAACATACTTTGACATTCACTCATGGATGGTTTCATTGGATGTTCATCTTAATTGGTCTTAGCCAAGTGGTTACTGCAACAGAATCAAAATCTGTTTCTCTTTGACTGCACAGGTTTCAAACCTGCTGAATGACAGATCTTTTTTCTATTGGAACATACCTTGCCATTGACTCATGGATGGTTTCCTCAGAGGTGCATCTAACTTGTCTTACCAAGTAGTTGTAGACCACAGCAGAGTCAAAATCTGTTTCTCTTGGTTTGAAATTTGCTGACAGCATTTTTGTGATGTATAGATCCTCAGAGGTTCATCTTAACTAGCCCCAGTCATTGTGCTGAAACCTTTTTTTATGTGATAGTCCATCCATGAAAAGGAATTCAATTTCATGCTTATAAGTTATTCTTGTTCATCACTCTCAAATTCTTAATGCACTCATGGTGATCTCATCTATCCAAGTGAAACCAACCTTCATGAGTCAATTGTATTTCAACTACAATTGAACACTGATTGCCTAAACTTCTTGGTTCACTGAAACAATGTAAACTTGGTGGTGGCCCTTCATTGGATGAACTTCTCAAAGGAAAGTAATGTCATGGTGTCCAAGCATATTCCAACTACTGGTAAATCCAACCCTCTAAGCTGTGCTTTCTGAAAGTCATATCCATACTAGCTTCACACCTGTTGTGCCTTTGGCACAGGAAGCAAACAGAGCGCTTTGCGCTCCTTTTTGGCTTCCTGGCCTTGGCTGCATCCTAGCATGTGCAATAAATAATTGATGAAAAATTGAATGAGAGAACAGGGGAATAGGGGAATGGACCAAAAGTGCTCACTCTGCTCACACCTTTGGCCCATTCCCCCATTCCCCCATTCCCCCATTCCCCTGTTCTCATTCAATTTTTCATCAATTATTTATTGACATGTGCTGCACTTGAATGGGCAACAGTATCAAGTTGGAGCTTGAAAACTGTTAAGAACCATGTTGCTCAAGGGAGAGAGAGACTGACTCAGAGGGGCTTGGCCTCAGCTCATATGCTGTGCCCCTTACCTGAGTATGTGCCCTTTATTTCATATGAGGTCCGATGATGGTCTGACGAAGTCCAGAGGACTTCCGGAGGAGTGTGGGAAATGTCTGGAGGAGCATGGGAGAGTTCCAGAGGAATGCAGGAAGTGCTTAGGAGAGTTCCCACTGCTGTTACGGCGAACCATAGGTCGACTAGGATGGGCGCAGCGGCAGGTACTCGATAAGAGTACGCCTGAAACCGGATCGTGTCCTCACAAATATAAGGTTCTTAAGACAAGTCAAAGAGAGTGTCTTCAACTTGAATATCGGTTTATCAGATGACTTAGGATTGGGGGTCCTAAGCGAAGGATAAGGCAGGTAAAACCTAGTAGATTAAAGTGAAGTCTATCTAAGTATACGACCGAGTTTATATAGGTGTAGGTATGTTTAGGGCAGGTACACATACGTCACCAGTCGAGTCAGAGATAAGAAACATGAGTCATCTGGTGATGTCATGGGTGAGTCAGAGATAAGAGAACATGAGTCATCTGGTGACGTCATGGGTGAGTCAGAAATAAGAGATATGAATCGGCTAGTGACGGCATATAGCGATCATGCCGTAATACAGGTAAGGGAAACGTTAGTCTAGTGATGGCACAGTCAAGTGCGGTCATGACGTAGTACACGAGTGAAGATAGAGAGAAAAGAGATAGGGGTAACCATGATTGTAACAACTGCAAGGTAATACTTCTACAGGAAACAGGATGGAAGGATAGGAGGTCTGAAGGTCTGGAGGACAGGAGGACAGGAGGATAGGACATCTGAAGGTACAGAGGGCAGGATGTCTGAAGGACAGGAGGATAGGACGTCTGAGGGTATGGAGGGCAGGACATCTGAAGGTACAGAGGGCAGGATGTCCAAAGGACAGGAGGATAGGATATCTAAAGGTTAGGAGGACAGGACATCTGAAGGTACGGAGGGTGGGATGTCCAAGGGACAGGAGGATAGGACGTCCGAAGGTATGGAAGGAACAGGGGCTACATTGGACAAAGTCTGATGTAGAAACAAGCAGAGGTAGACTACTCTAAGGTAGAGTCAGAGGGACAGGGATTGGACCTAAGTCCAGAAAGAGGGTAAGTGCTGGAAAGGCAGAGCTCTGGCCTAGGGAATCAATCCCTAGGCCTGATGGATAGGACAGACTTAGCTGGACCAAAGTCCGAGAGAGGATTGGGCAGGTAGAGCAAAGTCTAAGATGATATTCAAACTAAGGAAACTACAGGAGTATCTACAGGGGTTATATACTGGAGAATATCTGAGGGGGTCAATAAGCAAAGGAGCAAGGCTATGTACAAGCATGTGGAAACACATTAGTAAGTAAGACAGAACATAACTAAATGAACTTGGAGATGAAGACTCATACAAGGATCAATAAGCAAGACAGAAGAAGAGGTAACTGAATGCTGGAAAGGCGGAGATGTCTAAATGGGGATAGGTGCAGGATATTGGACAGAGGGTGGGAATAGGTCCAGAGTTAATATCCAGAGGTCCAGAGATCTGGGGATCTGGAAGACAAGGTGGATACAGGACTGGGATATAAGAAGGTGGATATAGTCCAGAATCTGAGATGAGGTGAAATCTGGATGTCTTGCTGGATGGAGTGTGCATAGGGTGGACAGGATAGGGTGGTATGGATCAGGCTAGCAGTGAGGATCCAGAGCGGAGTTGATCCTACTGAGGTGTGCAGCACACAGTGGAAGGGGATCTGGCAATGAGTCAGATATGGGGTCTGGATGTATGCTCCGAAGGCATGGGAATACTATGGAATGTGAGTCTGGATTGTGAGATATGACAAAAACCCATGACTGGGCCACACAAGAAAGCTATGTGAGATTCCCAAAAAGAGGTTTAAGTGAGCTAAGCATTCTTAAGCAAATCTAAGTGTTCCTAAGTGCATCTAAGTGTATCTAAGCATATCTATGTGAAAGCCACATGAGCTGGCAAGACAATTCCCACCTGTCACATCCTACTTTATAGATCAATCATTTGTCAGAACCTGTCTATTGAAATGTGCTCATTCTCATCACACATGTAGCATATTGAATTTTCCTCAGCCTTTCTTGATTGTTGCCCTGGCTTGCTACTTTCCAAAGGATACTGCTGATGGTGTACAACTAGTATTCTCGAAATGATAGTATGCAACATTAGTACTTATAAGACAAGTTTGCTGCTAGTGAAGCTCAAGGAGCTAGTTTGATTTTCAATAAAAGATGGAACAATGACATGTACTGGTATCATACAGTATCAATAATAAATTACTCTGCAATGTACAATAAAAAGACAGCTAGTGTTCCCACTTTGCAGTAGGTTGGTTTGCCTAGACCAAATTGTATCCTCCATACAGAAGATTGCTCCAATTGTTTCACATATTACATACCATTGCCCATTGAGACCTGTCTGCATTCCTGAAAAGCAATTGTACTCATACCAGTACCCTTGTCAGAACTGGTCACAAGTTTAGCATGATATTCTTGAATGCTGAGGATAAGATGTGGTCCCAGCACAAACATCTAAATAGGCTGGACAATCTATAAAGTAAGGTGGAAGGGCATGGGAGGGTGTGGCATGCTCACATGAAAGCCATGTTTTGCCACATGGGATCCTTTGTTTGGAAGTCTTGTGTGGTTTTTTCAAGCACCGACATCCTCCACTCCAATCCAAGCATGTGCTGTTCAATGTCCCAATTTGATTTGACTGCACACATGTTTTCCGTTGGCCAGAATTTCATATTGTGGGACCACACATGAGTTCCCATTGCTAAGTTGACTTGAATGTGTTGACAGCCACCCCTCTACAGCTCTCAACAGGCTCCAGGCTGCCCACCACTGCCTGCACAGTCTGTGGTGCAGTTTTCTGCTTTGTCAGACAATGAGTGAGTCATTCCATCATGTACTAATGAGACAAATATTTAAAAAAAATCCTTCTGTAGTTCCCCTTGCATCCAGGCCCTGCTTCCTCCCCTTCAGCATGGCTATGCTACCCTGCCACCTTCCTTGCCTTCTTACTCTGTTGACTGGGAGGCCCAAATGCACCACAACTACCACAACCAGTTTCATGCTTGGCTCCAGTGTCATAAGCTCAATGATCCTTATAGTAAGACAGCCTGTCGAGAGTGCACTCATGCACATGAGCAGAGGATGCATGATCTCTCTAAGGACACTGCAAGGATCCAACAAACCTGTCATATGCCATTCCAGACTCTCAACTCTAAATCTGCTTCTCTGGATATCTGGATCCAAGATCCGGATCTCAAATGATCTGATCTATCTTTATCTCCCTTCCAGAATCCAAACCCTATATCAGTGCCCAACCCCATTTAGACTGCCCCTGTCTCCGGACTCCAGTTAACCATGTTTCCCTTTTGATTATTGATCTGTTACATA